CAGTCACACCTCCGACAGCCGCCCACCCGGCACCCCGAGCCGCACAGCCTCACCTCGGAACTTCAAGTCGTCCACCGCCGCCATCCGCCCGCTCGGGCCGAGGAGCAGCTGCCGATGCCCGCACCCTCCTGGAAGCACAAGGCCCCGCCGGGCCGCTCAGCACCGCCGGGCACACGCAGCACCGCTGGCCGGGCCGCCGGCGCTACCCCCGGTGTCTGCCTCTGCGGGCAGTGCCGACGGAGGCCACCGACCGACCGCCCCGCCTGCCCCCAGGCCGCCCGCCTCACCCGCTTCCCCAGGGAGCGCCGCACCGCCCTACCCAGCCCCGCACCTTTGCTCCCCAACCCCTTGCCCAACCGCGGCCTCCGTCACCCTTAAAGACGCGGCAGGAACTGCGCCGCGACAGCCAATCGGCAGCTCCGCTGCTCGCTTCTCCCGCCCACCCGGCGGGCAAGAAAAGAACCCATTGGCGTAAAGCTCCGCGCCGACCAATCGGAGGCGCTTCCTCTTCCGCCACTGCCCGCCCCCATAAGGGGACCGCGGCCCCAATCACGGGCTGCCCGCCCCTCTGGCTGCGCGCGCCCCGGCGCTCTGAGCGCTGCAGGAACTGCGCCAGGAAAGGGTTAAGGGCTGCGGCGTCTGTGTAGTAAGTGCGTACGTACCTGCGCGTATAGCTTACAGAGCTACGAGAACGTAGATGTACGTTTCAGTGCACCATATAAAAATAAACATGACATACATACACGTGCGTGCATGTATAATTTGTACATACTTCGTACGTATGATCCAATTCTTACTTTTAACCGGGGAAAGCACCCCGCTTCATTAATGATGTACACACCCGTGAGCTGCACCAGGAACCTCTGCCTTGCTGCCTCGCTGTGAATGAGGGCAGTGCAGCTGCGCGCTCCTCGCTCAGGCAGGCGCTGGAGCCCACTTAAAAGTGAAGAACAGATCGAGACGAGGCAGAAATTCAGCCAAACACCAGAAATTTCTCCCCGCCCCCTTTCCCACCTCACTACCTTTGCCCTCGCTGTCACGCTGTGGTCACTTTGAAGCAGCCAGACCTCAGGCACGATGTTCAGCATCAGGGTGCTACTACAGAAACTCCTGATTCTTTTGCAGGTTACTCTGTCTGTTGTTGTTGGCAAAACCATGATGATCCTGTTCCCCGACACCATGAAAAGATACATCCTAAAGCTGGGAGAAAAGAGCAGAATGAATCAGAACCCAAAGTTCAGCTACGAAAACTGGGGTCCGACGTTTTTCAGCTTCCAGTATTTGCTCTTTGTGCTGAAAGTGAAGTGGAGGAGGCTGGAGGACGAAGCCTACGAGGGACACCCTGCTCCCAACACACCGGTGGTGGCTCTAAATGGGGAGATCTGGCAGCTGTTGAGTTTCATGCGAGGTCAGTACATCACCCTTGTACCAGTTTGGGGTTGTTAGAAGGATATATGAGGACAAGAGGCTGCCGAGGGGTTGAGGACAAGCAGTGCATTTCTGCCTTCAAATGAATGCTGTTACCTTGGGCTGCTGTGCCATGCACTCTCAGCTCTCTGCCTCTTCATCCCTTGAAGTAACCAGCTCATTGTCCCACATACAATATCCCTGCATGCCAGTGAGCTCATAGAGATCTTGCAAAAGCCTGTCCCTTCCTAGAAATCCTGAAAGCCAAGATAATTGTTTCTTTTCAGAAGATAAGACCCAGAATCAGAACCATATGCAGTGAGTCACAACCGTTGGCTGGCATTGCCTGCACATAAGGAAAGTCCCAGAAGCCAGGCTAAAGCCTAGAAAGCACAGGGTGTTTTTGCAGATTTAAAGGAGCTAGAAATTAAGCAGAAGATGCTTTGTACTTTGTCCTCTGCCTCCCACTGAAATCTCTGTAGAACATGGAATTAATCATTAAGCTGCAGTCTCTGTCTCCATGGGAGGGATTAAATCCTTCTCCAGCTCTGCTTTTCTAATTTATATGTGTATATATAAAGACAGACAGAGAAATAAAATAGAGTTGCAAGATAAAAATAACAGTACATACACAGTACCTACAGGAAGGCACCCTGTTTTTTAGCTTCTTTAAGATGCAAATCTATGCTAGCAGCAGCTTGTGAAGCTAAACTCAGCCAGAAGGAACATCTTGAACGCACTTGAGATAATCTAGCATGACCACAGACTAAAAATCCTGCAAGTTTTCTTAAACTGAACCCTGCAATCAATTGAACAGATGCTAGCAAATGTGGGTACGCATGTGCTAATTTGTAAGCAACTGCATAGATACTTCTGCCCCAGGCTTGGGTAGCATTAGTTTGATAAATATATAAGCCAAGTTCTGTTTGGACAGGAAATTGCAGAAATACATTGAAAGCATGCAAGCCTGTGATGCATGACTGAGAGGGCTGCAGCTTTCACTCAGCTCAGCTACAAATGACACCACAAAAAAATGTCCGGAAGGTTCATTAAAAGAATTCATAATTTGTGCTTAGACATCCATCTCTGAATCAGTGTCCTTCAGGAAACTTCCCAGAACGATCACATGTAATACTTTTTAAAATTCCTTCACATGAAGGATGTCAAGGAGGCTGTGAGGTGCCACATCCTGTACATCCACTTTTGATCCCTAAGCCAAAATGCTGGTAGCTTGAGAAACGGTTCTTGTGACGATAACACAAGGGAAGACATCTGTCTAGAGGGTACACTCTGCCTTTGCCAGGTGTTACACAGGGAAGGATGCTTCCTGGTTAAGCTCACTGTTGGACGGAACCTGCACCAGTCAGCTCCAGCCTATGAAAAGCAAGCGTCCTTATGCTTGTTTTGTAGAGAAACCTGGTGATACAGATGTTCTGCTATCAGTTTCAATGTCCTAGGAAGAAAGTTACGCGACAAGTGATTTAGTCACACAGGAAACACTGTGGCAGAGGCTCAACTCAGTGTATTAATTTAGTTCTGTCCTTCCTCCCTCCATCAATGTAACCACAAAGTGTCCTATGATTTTCTTCCAGATAACCGACCTTTAATCCTCAATTTTGGAAGCTGCACCTGACCTTCATTTATGTTACACTTTGATGAGTTCAACAAACTTGTCAAAGATTTCAGCTCTGTAGCAGATTTCCTTATCATCTACATTGAAGAAGCTCACGCAGTAGGTACAGTACAAATAATCACATCAGCACCTACCAAAACTTTTGATATATAACATTCCCTTTAGGAAGAAAAGTAATTTAGCAGAGGAGGGAACTGCAAACAATCAAGAATCAAAGACGGTAACATTGAATCTAGGCAGCAATTTTTGCCCTTGATTCCCCAAGGACTTCACTCACACATCTGACTTGAGGCGCTGCCGCTGAAGACACTCATCTCTGTGAAGCAAAGCACACAGTTAAAGCTGTGCAAAACTTCCTCCTGGTTTTAGTACAGCTCCTTTGGGGAAAAAATAAAGAGAATAGAGCATACACGTATTTATCTACACTGAGCTAAGACACTGGCAGAGATTTTTAGCCCACGACTGAGGTGGTTTTCTAAAACGTCACTTTTTTAACAACACGTTATTTACAGTAGTTGAGATGCAGACTCCAGTCATTAAAATGGTTTACATGTTTCTCCTTTCCTAGGAACTTGTATGCAAATGTGTATCTGAATATTTCTGAAGAAGGAGGATGTGCCTTCTACCCAGTGTATTTATCCCAGATTGGAGTTGGTTTTTTTTATAGGCTTAAATGGTAGAGTCAAGCTGAATGAATGGTGCTATTGCTGAAACTGTGCTAAGTGAGCAGGGAGCAGCTAATATCATGACTTCTTATATAAAAAACCCCTTCTCTGCAGCACTAATTTTGGCAAACTTTATCCAGGTGGGCTATAGCTCCCATACCTGGTATCCTTCTGGGCTTAGGTGGGAAATTTTCAGCTAAAATACACCTGGTGTTTCTGAATCCAGGACAAATGGGAATACTGTTCAGAGTATTTGTTCAGAGTAAAGAAACTTGGGATCATTTATTTTCAAAGCTGTACCATTCTCACACTCTAAGAAGGACTTCTCATTTCATAGCAAATTTTTTTGTCAGGAGTAAACTGCAATACATGACACAGTACATCTCTACCCCAACACCTGAACTGCATTGCTAAATACCTTTCTCATTTGCTTTAGATGGATGGGCCTTCAAAAACAATGCTGTTATTAAAAATCACAGAAGCCTTGAGGACCGAAAAACTGCAGCACAATTTCTTCAGCAGAAGAATCCCTTATGTCCAGTGGTTTTAGACACAATGGAAAACCTGAGCAGTTCAAAATATGCAGCACTGCCAGAAAGACTGTATGTACTTCAAGCAGGAAATGTTATCTACAAGGTAAAAACCACCAACGATAACGAGCACAACATACTGAGATCCTCAACTGTTAAAATAAGAATGTCTTACATTCTATTCAGCAGTGAGTATTTCACTCTGTTTCATAGCTAGTCGTTTCACAATTCATTGTAACCATAGGGGAAAAAAAGGACTTGCAGCAAAACCAGTCTGGGCCTTCACAATGTACATATTTAATGTACACCTCAGTCCTGCTCAAATATTTATCTTGTGGCTTATTAGAAAACCTAGCTACATCTAAATGCAAGATCCAGGCACACTCCCCAGCTCCAGGAGCCAGACACAGGCCCTGTCCCAGTTACACAGCAGGGTGTGACTTGTGCACACACCATCTCCTGCACAACGGCTGCCAAGCAAAGGAAGCCCAAGCACAGCCACCCGCCGTTCTGATTTAAGCACTGAGCTATAAAGACTTCTGCTCTGTGTTTTTGAGCTTCACTGTGTAACTTCATTGCCTTTGCAGGGAGGAGTGGGGCCTTGGAATTACCACCCCCAGGAAATACGCACCGTTCTGGAAAAACTGAAATAGAAAGAAGAGGACATCAGAGCAAAGACTATCTGGATGTAAAAGCTCAATGGATCAGTTTTCATAGACCTAAGAGTTAAAAACCCAAAATCTCAAGATACTAGAAACAACTAGAAAGAGAATAATGTACGTGCATTTGAAGACCATCTGTAACATGGTTCATCATCCGTGTGTCTGGAGATGTTCAGGTCTGTCACAGCCACCTCAGCTGCTGCGCTTACGTCCATCTTCCTGCGCCACTGGAATCCATTGAGCTGTTATGTCTGGATACCAGCACCCACATTCCTACGGTGCAGGACAAGCCTTAGGGGTGGTGCCATTTGCAAGAGCCAATTTCATGCAGAACAACTGATTTCACATTAGTAAGTTTCTCTCTCTCTTGTATACACACCATTTTTCTAAACATTCAGTTTCACTCACTTTAGAAGGCTTCTGAATGAGACAATCTCTTGACATTTGTTTCTATAATATTTGTTATGACGGTCACAGCATAAAGCACAGACAGCTGTGACCTGATTTTATAAAATATTTTTAGAAGCAAAGGATTGGTCTCAATCATGGAAACAAATAAACAAACAAACCTTTCAGACCACCATGGTTCTCGCTTGTCTTTTTCCTCCTGGTTATTTACAAGCATTAGTAGCTTCCATTCATCCTATTAAACAGTTTGAGTTGATGAGAAAATTTCCAATTTAAGAACTTCTGAAGAGCTTCTTTGACATTTAAGTTTGTCACACCTTTTCTACTCAGAATGCAAGGGAAACATCTCACAGAAAAATGAGTTTTAATTCATGTATAAAGAAAGCGTGAGCTAAACACAGTTATTTAAATGGATCTGGTTACATTCAAGTTTTTTTAACACTCTAGGTTATAAAATCTGTTAATACAATTAATGAGAGCACTGTGTTCAATATAATAAACTGATGGTTAACACGTACTACCTCTGTATCTTCAAAAACACTTTAATACTAGCTTGTAATAAATATTTCCTTTGACAGAGATACCAAAATATAAAACCAAAAAGATGAGGTACAAATTTGAGCCAGACTTAAGTGTCTTCTGCTGTGCCCTCTGCCATCACCCTGTGCACCGATACAAAGTGATCGAAGGCAGATTTGATGATGAATCGCAAATAAGTGGCCTGGAAATCAGGAAGCTGTAAAGAAAAAACACAACGTCAGCTCATTCCCAGTAGTAACGGAACTATCAAACTACTTGCAGAAGTGTGTTACAAAGATAGAGATGATTATTTCCTAAATGTCAGGTAAGTTCTTCTAGTACATGCAGCTTCAGAGCTTCTTCAGACGAGAGCAGTTCCAAACAGCTGTCCCTTCCCACCCTGAATACTGCAGCCCTCAAGACAACAGCTGAGGGAGGACACACTGCCACTCTTCTGGAGAGAGCTCTGTCACTCACTTAGGAGCAGTATGCAGGTGCAATTTCACGCCACAGTCAACAGAGAAGCAGCAGCAAAGGCAATGACATTTCCACAACTGATAAATCCCTACATCTCATGTCAGCTTGGCAACGATCACGTTTTCGTCATAGCTTATGCCCAGCTTAGACATCCTATCCCATGAAGCACCATGGTGCATCCCGTGTATACTCACTGGAAACTCTTCCATTTGAAGCTGTCCTTCTGTGTGTTGCAAATCTAGAAAATACATATTTTTTTTTCAGCAAATAATAAGGAACAGGGTGCAGTGCTGTGAAAAATGTCCACCAGAATAAGAGTCCATGAGAATGTAAGGACCGTGAACTGATACAACACACAGAAATTGTTCTTTACAAGGTGATTTAAGAGAACAAATACTTTCTGCAATATCCCAGTGTAAAAATACAACTCATTACACTGTTTTGTAGGACATCACCCAAGGGGCATTTAAAAGAATACATAACAAAGCAGGAAAAGGCACTCTATTATACCATATGAGTCTGTTTTCAATTTTTTAAATAAAAGAGTGTACAAGTAATGCCTGTAACCCTTGTACAGCATTCTACATCTCCAAACAGCTCAGCAGCCTATCAGCGTTCATAAAATGTACTTAAATGTCTATTAAATTAACTTCTAACAAAATAATCAAGCCTGATACAAACGCCCAACAAACACACATGGAGCTAAAAGGACTCACTGAAAAATTAAAAGTGCATCAGTAACAATAAACAGGGTAGTTTCATCTGTGCGGATCAACAGAACCTCCCTAAAATCTAAGCAGCACAATTTTATATGCTGCATTTTTAATCAAAGGCATAAAATTAAGACTTGACCTTACAAGAAAGCAAAAAATGCACTGTTACCCAGTACATTTGTTAACCATTAGCCATCTGAAAAGGCAGTTTTCAAGCTGAGAAAATGGCACTGCACAGCATGAGGCTACATGAGAGGAAGCCCGGCTATTTTCCAGCATCCATGTTTTCAGTGGATGTTTGGGGATACAGATGGGGAACTCCAAAAATGTGACACTGTTCAGTGAGAAGAGACAGATGCCTCCAGTCAGCACCAAAGTGTTTCAGGCAACTGATGTCAAAGCGTAAATACCTGACTGCAAGGACTACCCCCAGTATAATGTCACCAGGAACTTCTGCAAGGAAACTGGGATTCCTGTGAAATACATCATAGAAAAGACTAACTGAAAATAACAAAAGAAACGTAGGGGACAAGGCTCTACCAAAGCATGACACTGTTCTGGGGCTGGAACCACTTCAGGCTCAGAACCTTACCTTTTTCAATGCACTCTTCAAAGTCTACTGGGTCTTTTGATACGCTTCTTTCAATCCTTAAGGTCCGCACTAAAATACATATGCATTTAAAATATCAACATAAACCCTGAGGCTCACTGATCTTTAAGTTTATTGCATGATGTTTCATCTACAGAGCATCTTACAATTAATTCCTGCTCTACCATAGGGCACAGGACTATGAGACAAACACCACGCTCACGTTCGAGGGCAGACAACCAATGACAAGTTGCCAGCTGATGGCCAAGCGCCCGTCCCCATGCTCTGACCTCAGGTCAGTCCTTTTGGTCTTTACTTTAAGAAGTAAAATCATAAAAGTCAATGCTCAGAATTAATCATTAAAACAGTAAGTACTGCAGTTCTGCCTGTAAAATGGATCAGACATCACTGTGCTACAAAAGATAACCTTAAGGTGCTGCAATAATACAGTATGCAGGTGGGGCCGATTATCCATCTTTTCTGAAACATCTACAGAAGCAAAACAGATGTGGAGGACAACTGTTTTGTTAAGCTGTATCTTTATTATTCAGGGGAGGTTCAGGTTGGGTGTCAGGAGATATTTCTTCTCAGGAAGAGCAGTGATGCTCAGCTGCCCAGGGAGCGGTGAGGGGTCACCATCCATGAGGCGTTCCAGAGCCGTGGGGATGTGGCACTGAGGGACGTGGGCAAAGGGGGGGTGGGGATCTGAAAGGTTTTTTCCAGCCTTAATGGTTCTGTGATGTATTAGCGTGCTAAATGTGACTGTTCAATAATAAGACGGTGCTTTGAGGAGGTATAGCTGAGCAGACGTGTGCCCTGAACGTGAGCCACTTGCTGCTCCAGGAGCCCTTACCCAGGTAGCACTGGATCGCCACTTTGCTGACGGTCACACGTTTGGGAAAGCCAATGATGAACTCCTGTGGGAACATCCCTGTTGTCGTCCAGAACGTTTCGGAACTTCTGTGGAGAGAACAGCACAAAACCGCCCCTTGTGGCTCTTTGCTTACGGCCATCTTCCAAGAGATCTCCCCCCTCGAGAAACGGAACAAAGAACGGGAAAGCCTCTTTCTTTGGGGTGCTGTAACCCCAAATCGGGCTGCGTGACAGCGGGGCCGCAGAATTCAGGTCACAGAAGGGCGACACGAACACCGTACAGCGCTACCACGCACGGCTCACAGCGATGCGGCTCTCCGCGCCCGCAGGGGCCCGGCCGGCCGCAGCCCGCAGCCCTCACCCGTCCGCCACGTTTCCGGCCGGGTGCCGCGGGTCGCTGGAGGTGGCCATGACGAGGGCAGCGCCCGCCGCGCTCAGGCACCACTCGGCGGCCCGCATCCTCGCCAGGGAGCGGAGAAACAGAAGGGAAACCCGAGGGCAGGGCCCCGCGCGGAGCCGCCGGCACAGTGCCACGGCGCGGCCCCGCCTCCCGCTCCCCGCTCCCCGCCCCCGGCGCGGCCCCGCCTCGCCCGCAGCCGCCGGCGCCGCGGGATGGGCGGCGGGAACGGGCGGTGCGGCCCGGGCGGGTGACGGCGCGTCGGGGCGGCCCCGCGGGGCAGGTGGGCGGGGGTCGGGATCCGCGGGAAGCAATCGCTCCCCGTGCCACTTGGCAGCCTCCGGGCACGGCGCGGAGCGGAGCCCCCGGCACTCCTCCCGCAGCCTCCGGCTGCCTCCCCCTCGTCCCTGCCTCCCTTGGCCCGCCCCCCCCCCCCCCCTTTGCTCCCCGCCGTTCCCGGTGGCGGCCGGGCCCCGCACCTGCTCGCACTCGGGGCTCCCGGGATCGCCGCGAGGCCTTTCCCGAGCCTCCCCGGCAGCGCTTTGCCCACCTCCGGCTTCTTTTTTGCAGAACGGCACGAGGGGAATGTCGTACTGGCTCCGCTCGGAAAGCCACGCGGATGCCGGGCCGATCTACGTGCGTGAACGTGGGCAGCTGCACGTGGTGAGCCCGGCTGCGGGCGGCGTCCGGAACGCGCGGCCTCTCAGGCTGTTCTCCGGGGGGTTCTCTGTGGAGCTGTGTCTGAACGGCGAGGACGACAGGGCGAGGAGGCCGAGGACCGATCACTTCATCTTCACGTACACCAAGGAGGGCAACCTCCGCTACTCGGCCAAGTCCCTCTTCAGCCTGGTGTTGGGCTACATCTCCGACAACGTTGACCACGTCGACTCGCTGGTCGGTTTCCCAGAGCAGATTGCTGAAAAGCTCTTTTCAGCCGCAGAAGCAAGGCAGAAGTTCACAGAGCCTGTGACGGGACTGCGAGCTCTGCAGAAGTTCACTGAAGCGTACGGCAGCTTGGTGCTGTGCTCCCTGTGTTTGCGGAACAGGTACGTGCATTCCGTGACGCATCAGCATCTGCTGAGCTTTTTGCTGGCGTGCTTCAAGTTCTCTTATTTTCTCTCAACCACAAATTTATTCTCCAGGGCCACATGGTGCCACCTAATTTTGAGCCTTGCTTTGTCTAACACTGCTTGCTTCCTTTTGTACCATTCCTTTCAAGTGCCTCCTTAGATACTTCATGGGATGTTTCTGTAGCTGCTGCTTATGAGCATTTCATAGTTATGTGACTGCACACACCTTTGCAGACCATCTGGGTTTATTCACACAGAATCACAGCATGGCCACAGAATGGCCAGGGTTGGAAGGGACCTCAAGCATCATCAGTCTCCAACCCCCCCTGCCACATGCAGGGCCACCAACCTCCCCATTTGATACCAGACCAGGCTGCCCAGGCCCCATCCAACCTGGCCTTGAACACCTCCAGGACGGGGCATCCACAACCTCTCTGGGCAGCTGTCAGCACCTCACCACTCTCTCTGTAAAGAACTTCCCCCTGACATCCAACCTAAATCTTCCCTTTCTCAACTTAAAACCATTTCCCCTTGTCCTGCAGTTATCAACCCTTTCAAAGAGTTGATTCCCCTCCTGTCTGTAGGCTCCCTTTAGGTACTGCAGGCTGCAGTGAGGTCACCCGCAGCCTTCTTTTCTCCATGCTGAACAAGCCCAGCTCCCTCAGCCTGTCTTTGTAGTGGAGGTGCTCCCGTCCCCTGATCATCTTTGTGGCCCTCCTGGATCCTCTCCAATCCTGTTTCATTTTCTAGCTCATTTCATTTTCAGCAGAAGATGCAATTTTGTAGGTGAGGTACAGCCTTTGTAGTCGGGCAGGCTTTACCTTAGTGATAACTGTGATTCTGTCCCCATACTCAACATACTTTAATGGTGTTCTGATTAGAATACAGCACCGTTTTTTCCACCTTGTCAGTGTCCCCAGTTTCTTTTACTACTAGAGTGTCTCAAGAAGCTTAAAACTGCTTTTAAAGCTTTGCTCTTACTGAAGTCTTGGATAGTGATATAATGAGTCTGCCTTCCATCTTTGCATTTTAAAAAAGGGTGGTTTATTCAGTTTAAAATCAAAGGACAGGCACATTTATCTGAAGTGCCAAGGGTGCTTTAAGCACAGCAGGAAAGTTTGAGCAGAGGTCAATTACCTTGTTTTATCCCTTCAACGAACTCCCTCTTTATTTTTAGTGCAGGTACTTTTTACGAGCTTCATTCAGAAATGGAATTACCTCTGGCATATTTTACCATTACAAAAAGATCAGTTAAATATAAAATCCTTGAAATCCAGAAAGTAAGACACTAAGACGTTTTTTATGAGTCTTATTTCTAAGAGCCCACTCTTAGTAAGCCCTCTGAGCTTGTATTACCTATCAAGAACTGTCTTGCATTCTAACTGCACGTGCTGCCTCCCACCTAGCTGAGTTGTGTGGCAAGGGGATTTGGTGGAGTGCTCTAACATGGATACCAGCACAGAGAAAATGCTCTTACTTGCATGGGCAAAAAGGTTTCAGGGATCATAGTTAGCACCCCTGATTTCACCACTCAAAATGTTATCCTCAGGGATTGCCTTGACACGGGGGCTATGAGGTAAATACAGGAGATATTAATGAATTGAGGGATTATCTTGCCATAAATGCAGGAGAGATGGGGTAACTCATATTACTATGTATTCGTGCATGCCATTCTTCAGTGCATTCCCATCTCTAAATCTGCTGAATAGTTCCAGCGCAGATGCTTGCGTGGCTGCAGAGTGAATCACATCAGGGAACCAACACAGCTAAAAAAAACCAAAACTCACTGTGTAAGTGCTGCCTGGGGTGTAGCCACAACTCTGGTTGGAGGCAGCCCTGTGGGTGTCACGATGGAGTCCAGCTAGTGAACTGCTCTACTTCTTTAGTGAAGTACTTTGTGTATGAAAAAAATAGCATTTTTATCATTTGGCAAGCCATTCTGATGCATCTGGAACAGATTTTATACCTGTTGGTTTGTCTATACACTTTCTGGATGCTAAGGAAGAGCAGTTTGTGAAGTTGATTTAAGGTAATCTATGTTATCCTGAAATTATATGGTAATGATCTGTAAATAAGCCTCTAATAACGATGCTTACAAGTTGAAGTATTAATCGTTAGTCTGGTACTCTGTCAAAGAAAGTGTGCTTTAGTTGAAGGAGAAGGCTGGGAGCTCAAGTGTGTTGTAAGCAGAACGCAGTGTTCAAAGGTAGTTTTAGCAGCTGACTAACTTCTGTCAACTTCTACACAGATGCATGAGAAATAAGTGCATTGTGCTTGCATTTGAGAACACAGGGCCCTTGTTGTTCCTCAACAGTGATAGCTTTTTTGTTCTTACAGATACCTGGTTATCTCTGAAAAGCTGGAAGAAATCAAGTCTTTCCGGGAGCTGACGTGTTTGGATCTTTCCTGTTGTAAACTTGGAGATGAACATGAACTTTTGGAACACCTCACTAAAGAGGCTCTGTCCAGGTACTAATTGCTTGACATGTATCAAGAAATGACGTTTGCTTTTGCTACTACTAAACAGTGCCAAGCATCGGGCTGTGACTCTACGGGAAAGTTTCACAGGCAGCAGCATTTAAGTCTGAAGATTTGGGTTGTTGATAAAACCTGCACGTGAGGTAAACAAAATACAGAATTTACTGCACACAAAGCACATGATCCAAAGGGGACACTGAATCTCAGAGGTCCTACCAATGTGCAAGTTAACTGACTGCTCATGTTTAAATCAACTTCTTGTAAATTTCAGTTGTCAGCTAAAATAAATGCACCTTGTGCATTTGGAACAGCTTCACACAGTTATTTCCTTCTTTAAAGGGAGAACTTTAATCAGCCAAATTTTTAACCAGTGTGCCAGATGGAGATTCCTGCAAGCACTAAGCCTAATATTTCATTAATTGACAGTTTAGTATCAAACAGTATCGCAGAACTTATTTTCTAAAGATTAGAAAGTAGAAGACTTGGGAAATCAGAAGGCAGAAAAGCCACTGATGGAGGATATTGTATTAGTGTAAAAACTTCAGTGTATTTAGAGGCAAGGTTTTGTCTTGAAGTGCTCTGAAGAACGTTCTAAGGCTGTGGTTTTCCCTGAGTTGATCTGTGGTAATACCACATTGTTCACTTAAACATCATGACTATCTCCCTTAACAAATCTGTCCTCTCCCATTTCACCAAGCACTTTTCTTTTCACAGTCTCGAGTGGAGATTGGCAGCCCTAATTTAAATAACTCCAATTAACAAACAACCTTCTTGTCTCTAGTAGTAAATACTCATGCTGTAGGGCTGGCTTGTTGCTGGAGCTCTGGGAGTAGCTGGTCAAGTGCTTCTATTGAGCTAGCAGAAGGAATACGGCAATATTTGTTTCCCCCACCAACGCAAGCTTCTTTCTTACTATTTTAATTATTATTAAGTTTTGATCATCTACTGAAGAGCTTTCCACATAGACTTTAAGACAATTGGTGAAACTGTCTAAATAACATGACTATAAACTGTATTTATTGTACTTCTCCTCTCAGTGTGAAACAACTCCTCCTGAAAGACAACGCTCTGTCAGACGCAGGCCTTCGCAGAATGACGGCACCAGTACGAGTACTGAAAAAGGGACTTCAGAACCTTCTGGTGTTAGACTTGTCCTGTAAGTGCTTTGTGGTGTGGTAGCAGTAGCAAAACATGTCCTGTTTGGTGAAGAATTCCTATTGATGGAATACATATAATTTAGCAATTCCCACAGGCCAAGTGCCCAACCCCAGGTTTCAGCAGTAACATTCCACGTGAGGTCATACCTCTAAGTGCAGCCATTTGCCACTTAACGTCAATATCTTTAAGCATGTGAAGTAGTATTGTAAAACCTGTCTTTTGATTATTAGAGGGAAAATACCAGATTTGACTCAGTTTCCAAACAACAAGAAAAAAAAGCCAAGAATGTTCAAATATTAGTTTTTGAACAAGTAGCTTCTTGGTGTTCTGACCATACCTCTCCACATACTGCAACTTAACTAACTAACCTTACAGGTAACCCTAGAATCACAGATGTGGGAATTGGATACCTTCTTTGTTTCAAGAAGTTGAACTGTTTGGACATTTCTGGGACAGGCCTCAAGGTGAGAGAGCTTAATTTATTGGACAGGTGCAATCAAATGCTCCCCCCTCTGACTGCTTTATTTCCTCATTCACTAGGATGTGAATGCTGTTGTTAAGCGGATCCAAACGCAGATGGGCTTAGTTCAATCAAAAGTGCCTCTGAAAGAATTTGATCATAGTAACTGCAAAACAGAGGGATGGGCAGAACAGGTATGGAGCTTTAAATCTATCTTACTCCATGGAAATTGTCCTAACTTAATACCTGTGGGATATTAAATTACTGAATAGAATATTGCAAGGGATAGAGCAGTTCTTGGTGATATTTCTATGAACATTACAGCGACTCCTTCAAATCTTATTTCAGACAGTTCTGCAGTGGGAGCAGGCAGTTATGGAGGCCATGAAGCCACAAGAAGACTTGAGTTCCAGAACAGCAGCTCAGCGCTTCTGTACGTAACTGCATAGAGACCACATCATTTAATCGTTGTCTATGAGCAGTCAGTATTCCAGGTTGGCTTAGCCAGAATAATTTGCAACATAAGTGTGTATTTTACAGCATAATCCTAATTTTCCCTAAATCTAAACTTTTATTTTCCCCCTCTCTAGATGGCAAGACACACAGAATAGAGGAAGTGGTCAAACGTAAGTTGGTGGAAGCAGAAACAAAAGTATCTGGAAACTTACAGTTTTATAAGGAAGACGTTCAGAATTGCCATTTACCTTTGAAAAAGGATGTTGGAGGCAGCCATGAATTAAAGAACAATAAAAAGAGAGCTTTGGCAGAACAAGAGAGAGAAAGGACTTCTAAACAGAAGCATCTGTGCCTCACCGTGGAGGACTGGGATTTGTTAAATACCTACTGAGTCAGAAAGAACAGGGTCTTTTGTTTGTTGTTTTCTTGCTGATGACAGAGTTTAGATGCATCCAAAGGCAGTAACAAAGGAGAGCAGTATTGTTACATCTGGTTGTTGTGATAGGTTTGTGGGTTAACCTATGCTTGGGGAGGAAGGGGCAGGGTCAATGAAGAGAATGGTGATTCTACTGTATATTTTCAATACATAATTTTTTTCAAATAAAGTTTTTAGTGTCATCCTTAACTCATTTTTCTGACATAGACATTCACAAAATGCTGCTCCAATTCCTTCACCCCTCTTGTTACCTTAGGGGCAGAAGACCAATCAACCTAGCTGAAATAAAGGTGCACTATGCATGTTTAGTGCAGTGGGCCTTTAATAGTGCTGGTAGTACAGAAAGCTCAGCCTGTAAGCATGAAGCTGTGCTTGACAGCTCTGACAAAGGGAGGAAGCAAACAGGATAAGCACAGGCCGCAGGGGAGGGAACAAAGCAGAGACAGTAACCCCCCTTGGTTATGTAGTTACTGCAGAAATCCAAACAGAAGTCCCCTGTATCCCTCCTTTTAATCCTCAGAATCATTTTGCATTAGTGTGCACAAAGCCAGGAGTAGAGCTGTAGAGCTGTAACGCTACAGGTTTGTCACAGAAACACACAGGAATCAAATCAAAACTGAGTAAAGTACACAGTGGCTGTGAACTGAGCCTGAGAGCTTCCTTGTGTCCTTTAAGGCTGAGAACTTAAACAGGTTTCCTCTACTGGTGCTTAGTTAGAGGATCTGTTAGACAGCCTTTATCAGAGTAAGTGACAACAAAAGCAGTGCATCACTGGAAATGGCAAAGATGCCAAGAAAGGGAACTTTGCCTCTAGAGTGCAGAGAGATGAGAGAAGAGCCTTTCTCACTTTGCTCCTTTAGTGCTGAAGTTTCTTCAAAAAAGGACTGCAAACAAACAAGCATACTTACATTCAGGCCCTACATTTTTTCCCAGAAACTCAAAACTATTTATAGCATCCACTGAAGACATCAGCCCTCATCTGAGGCAAGTAACAGCACAAACAGTGACTTAGCAAAACAGCTTGACAGGCTGTGACGCTCAGGCCCAGCGCTGCTCCTGCAGCTGCAGTTTGGTGCATCAGCCAGCACGGATTATTTTTGCTTTGCTAGACCTTCCACAGTTACCATCTGCTAATGTGACCATGAAGAGATGCCCACCTCACAGAACTGTGCACCGCCTCACCTCAGTCAAGCAGCTGGGAGCTGGGGCTCTGACACACCAAACAGGCACGTTGTGACTTGGCATGGAGAGCCTGTCAGGTCACAGGAGCATCAGGAAAACAATACAGTATAGCCTCACTTTTCAAAAGAGGTGTTTTAAAGCACTGTGCTTGTGTTCTCCATCCCTGATAAAATTAGCCCTTTCCTTAGCTCTGCGTGCTGACTGGCAGACTTCCCCTTTTCAACACACCCTTGTGCACATTTTATCCAAGAATGACTCAAGCACGCTTACTGCCGTCCTCAGCATCTCACTTTAGAGCTCCAAGGCACAAATCCACCACCGAAGAGGGGAGCTGCTGCACCAACTGACAAACATGCACTGGGGAATCCAGCAGCGCCACGTGGGCCAGCCTGACCAGCATCCTCCTCCCAGCCACAGTGACTACAAGAAGCCAGGATTTACCAACCCCGAATCAGCCTCGTTGCAATGTTAGATGCCAGTGATTTTTCTAGCAAAAATGTGCAGCTCTTTTTCTTTTTTGACAGGGTGGTAGCCTGAATGTGAGAAACATTTACCTAAGATACTTCCAACCACTCTTTGAGCTGCAGCACTGAGCACACTGCAGTGATGTTGTACCAACACAGAGAAAGCAAGCCAGCCGTCCTACGTGGCATGGAAACAGACAGGTTATTAAACATGGCTCTAAACATCTCCACAGTACCATTGTGCTGAGTTCTGCCGTTTCATTCTAGGTAAAAGCATGAGTCAGAACACAGTGCAGCTATTTTTAAAGGATCTTTCAGAGCTATGGCTGTATCCCAGCTACAAATTAGAACAAACATTCACTATTTATACAAGTCATGGAGAGATGCCGAGTTACAGATCACAGGACAGAGAAGAAATGAGTGAACCGGGATTTATTTTTGAAGATCTATGCGCTGGCATGCAGGAAGAATAGTGCCCAGTGGTTTTTGGAGGCCTGGAATACTAGATCTGGGATTGGTGTTTCAGACACAGGCAAGGTTTTCAAAAGAAGAGAGAAAGACCACAGCTTTCTTATATTTCAATGACACATCTGTACCTACATCTCGTGGGTGCTGTAAAGGCAGCTGGCTGGTCCTGCGGCACTGGCAGAGGAGCAAACTGAGCAGATCCCATGTCATCCCATGGCCTGGCAGCAGCTCTTGGTTTTCCTCTGCTCACAGCTCCAAGGATGCAACAGACTTCGTTTCCCTCCTTTTTCACTTTCTAACTGCTCTACAACACATCTCAGTCCAACAGCTGCTCATTAAGCACCAAGCTGCCACTCCGCACCCTCAGAGCCCCAAGAGGTGCTCAGGAGAACCCACAGAGGTGTCCCACAGCTGATGCCCGGCCTGCAGCACCTGGATGCCAGCAGCACAGCACCCATCTCTGCTGCAGGCCTTTTGCAGCTGCTCACCTGGGCCTGCTTGTGCCAGAATTTCCAGGGTGGTGGCACAGCAGGAAGTGACAGTGCAGGAAGCACCTCGCCGTGTCAAACACTTCTTGGTGCCCAGACCTCACGGCCTGCAGAGGTACTCATCCGACCAGCTCACACAGTGCTGCACACCATCGCGGCACAGTGCCCTGGGCACACAGGAGCAGTACTTGTAGTGAACAGGGCTGCAGTTCCACCACGCTGGGCCGCAGGGAGGGCAGGCAGCCACTGTGGGGACAAGAAACCAGGAAGAAAAATGCTGCTGCACTCACAGGCACCTCCTCCCTTACACCATTTAACTCCACAGCTGCTACTGAGGAGCCACCAGGGATGACCCTGAGTCTGTGAATTGACCAGAAAGACACTGCGATGACCTCTGTGGCAGAGATGGCATCCTGGGAGCAATGACCAGCTGTGATTTGTTTGTTTAGCAAGCCACCCTAGAGAAAGGTGCTGTCAGGTTCAAAATCTCAGGGGTGATTTAGGAACAAACCTGCTACTTGAGTTTGAGCAGAGCTGGATTTAAATCACAGAGGTGCACACTCAGACCTCAGTCTTACAGACAAACTTATCTCCTGACCGAAGATCAGTTTTGAATAATTGGTGCTGCCTACTGATCCACATTGAGATGAAATTGCTTGGTGCTCAGCAAGTCACAAAGATGGAATGACTTTTGGGGCTGGGAACAAATAATCAAAAAATCATTTAGGTTGAAAAAGGCCTTAAAGATTACCAAGTCATGTCAACCTGATAAGTCCCACCACTACACCATGTGCCTTAAGCATCACAGCCACAGAATCATAGTGCCATTTAGACTGGAAAAGCCTTTTGAAGCATGGAGTCTCTCCCCTCTCAACTGCCTCCAGCCTTTGGCCACAGATGTGAAGAAGCCCACGCGTTTTGTCTCTGTTTTGTGTTTCAGAGAACACCAGCCTCCAGACTTTTCCAGGAGCACCAGTGAGCACCAACCCCACAAAACCTCTTCAAGCTATCAGCAGATCTTTCACTAAGCACAGCCCAAAGGCAGACTTACAGCTCCCCATCTCATCGGAGCAGTCTCCGCAGTCGTTCATCCCATTACACCTCTGGTCAGCATAGACCCAGTGCTCAGGGTTACCGCAGTGGAAAACCAGGTATGCCGGCAGGCTGTGGGGCAGGTCACCTGCAAGGGCAGAGGCTGAGCTCCTGCAGGTACAGATGTACCTGTCGGAACAGGGACAGGCAGCACCAAAGTGCATCATGAATGGCCCCGTAGGTGAGGCAGATCTTTGGAGATCAATAGGAAGACCAGTATGGGAGGATCATAACAGAACAGCTCACCACAGAGTTTCTCCTGCTCATCCTCTCCATTTCTACAGTTGGCAGTTCCATCACAGACCTGGCTGGCTGGGATGCAGGTCACTCTGTCATTGCACAAGAAGCCTGTCCAGTTATGGGTGGCTACACAGGGGCGGTTCACTGAAAGGAAAGCAAGAAATACTATCTTCTGACACTGCCATGTTCACTGGTATGGGGAACAACCCCCATAGCAACAGGCCTCCTTCACTGCGCTAATAATGACTCTTGGGGACCAACCAGGTGCACGTAGCTGCAGTCCCAGTGCGATTGCCAGGCCCACAATGGCTGCTATGGCAGCCAGGAGCAGCAGCACAACGCAGGCCCGTCTCGGTGGGCAGCACAGGTGGGCACAGCATGGCCGGCAGCAGCCTGTTGGGAGGCAAAGCTGGGAGGCAACAAGCTTTGATCTAAAAGCCAGGATTACTTAGCTGTACCTCATGTACTTAATTGCTATATGTTGTACGAGTATAAGACACACCATTTGCTCAACTGCAAAGGGATTCAAAGAAGCAGTAACCATCCCCCACATCAAACACAAGTAAGAATCAAAGGCAGAACACTGCAGCTTAAAAGGCAAGTGGTAGACACAGACATGCTGCAGTTCACAGGACAATATCTTTGACCAGTAGGCAGAATGGCTGCAAATAGGCACGAGTATAAATTAATGGTAGTGAGGAAATGCTGTCGCAAGCCAATCTGCAGACTTATTATCAACTGCATGTGATCTCACTTTCTTCTTAAATAAAATTTGCTGAAGCCTAGCTATTAAAACATATAGAAAGCCTGTAGAAATTCCATAATGAGCCTCTTTTGTAAAAGGTAAGAACACATATCATGATGCTATACCATAAGTCTGCCACCTCCAGGCCAGCAAAAAGCATCTTAAGTCTATTAATTTTATAGTCAGGATGTTTCACTACTGAGGGCTGGGGAAAAGAAAAAACACAAGTCTCAACACACCATAAATACTTCCTGCATTTTACATTACAGAGATAGGCTCCACTGATTTAGAATTCAATAACAAAAATGTTAAGCTCGGCATTTTGTTACCTTGTTCTTCAGAGGACTTGGCTGAATCAAAAGTAGCTACATCACCATTTCTCTAGAAGTGAAAGAATAAAACACCATTTCCAGACATAGCACGTGAGCACATCATGGTTGCTTTTCTGGTTCTGGTACCATCTCATCCAGGAATGGACACGGATAAGTACTGATATATATATTTTACATACAAACAAAAGTTGGCTTAGTGGAAACAGCCTGCATTTGGTTCACAGAGCAATCAGATTGCTTTTCAGATTTCAGTAACCCATTTGCACAACAAACACTGAGGCAAGTCCAGCACTTGATGCCAGTAAAGCTGTACCAATACCCTTTCATATCAAATTAGGTGAAGTAGACAGGACTGGAAAACTTAGAAGCCACTGATAGAGAGATCAGACAAACAACATTATCAAGAACACATGAATTTTAGAGAACACAAGATTTTCATGAAGAGGACCGTACCTGGGGGTGAGTTTTGTTCATTCCTCCTGGAGCTACAGCCTTCAGAGCAGCTCAGAGGACCACAGGAAGCTTTCTGCACCCTAAAATGCAGCCATGTTACCAACATATACGGTCTCTAACATAAGCAACGTTACCAGGACACAAAAAGCAACAGAGGGAGGGAAGAAAGAAGCACTGTGCTGCCCAGGCATGTGGACAGGAGGACAGGGCTGGCAGGCTGAGCCCCTTCTCTGGTTGGAAGCAGGGCTTCTTTTGCTTCTCCCTCCTCCCAGCTTCACGTTGGCTTCATGACAGGGTATGAGGCAAACGGGAACTTCCCATGCTGACAACCCCACTGCTGTCCTGCCACGTGGAAGATGAATGCCCACCACCCAGCTGACACAGCTTGCACTCACCTTAATGCCAGCCAGGTACTGAAGAGAATGAACTGAAAGCCTGAGGAAATGGAGTCGGATCACCCTTACCCAAAACACCTTTCCCCAGCTCCTTCCCAAACCAGGGCTAACCCACTAGCATTGTAGCAACATAACCCCAGGCTCCTGCAAGGCAGGACAGGATATACCCATAGGCTTTGCAGTTTCAAGGACAAAATAGCATAGGTTCATGTCCCACTTGCTGACAGAATTCGCCCCTGCATTGGAGACTCAAGCACTCTGAATTATTGCCACCCTGGAAGCAACATGCCACCCCATCCTCAGCCCAAGCACTCAAAGAACTACTTTACCATGACTTGGGAGAAATGGGCAGCTGTTATTACCTAAAAGCTGGCACCAAGACAGTCTCACTAAATTAACTGATTCAAAACAACAAATGATGCCTGACACAGCAACAATTGTTGCTACTTCCTTCTGCATCCCCAAACACACAAATTATTCCTGACTGAGTTATTACATGTTTCCTGACAACACCTGCCAACCCCATACACACCCACTCAGAGAACTTCCAAAATCAAACACAACCTTGTGGACCTCTTCCTCCAACGTAGCAACGCTCACTTGTCCCAGTTTCTCACAGGAAAGTATCACTGCTAAACTCCATGCCAGGAAGCTGTCCTGTTCAGAGGGGATTCTGAGTACACCAGGCCTGCAACTCTAGGCACCCACACCATGGAACAGTACTAGATAAAAGGTTAAAAATGCTATCAAATTCCAGATCTGCTTCTCTCTACGGAGAAAGTTCAAATTCCTAATCATCACTATAGAATGAGTATTTTAAGCCTTAAAATAGCTTTTTAGGTGATAATGAGCTTGGTTAGTCACATGTAACAACCAGACCAACCAGGCTTCCCATGCACACCCCACAAAACAATCTGTAATGAAAATGTTGAAGACATGGAGTAAACCAGCTTTCAGAGGGAAATGCCTGTGAGACCAGACATCCACTATTACCTATTTCCTACACGAAGGTTATCAAGCTCAGCTGTAACCAAGCAGGTAGTTGGGTTTAGAGCAGTTACACCACATCAGACCATGAGTTCAAGAATTTAACGAGAACACGGTAACGAACACAAGCAAGGCTTTCTGAAGTTGAAGATCTTTGCCAAAGATCAGGGAGGCTGACAGGGGAACAAAGATGAACATACCATGCATGATGCAAGACTATTGCTGATTCCATCACCTAAACCACAAAACCTAACCCCCTCCCCAAAACGTACCGTAGCTGTTTCTTGCAGCAATTAATTGCACATGTTGAGATAGATGCCTTTGCTCATGTCAAGATGACTGAATTTAAGAGCTGAAGCAAGTTCAACGGAACGTATGCCTAAAGAGAACAGAAAATGCTTTCCTCCTGCAATTTCAATCATTTAAGGCCCTTCATTTAAATAGTGGTCTTGGGCAGAGATCAAACCCAAATTGCAGCCTCTGAGAACGAAGATGTTAGGAAGTTAAACAAAAAAAAATAAAAATAGGACAAGCTTTGCAAAGTCCAACACTAAAACAGCTTAAATACTCCATTTAGATTCAAAATCTTGAGAAACAGCTCCATTACTGCAACCTAATGGTAGTATCCAATAATACTAAATGAATATGCTTTGACACGAGCTTACAAATCCTCTTAACAATTTCTTTAGACCTGGTGCACTTGGCAAGCAGCAATGCTAAGTGTCAGACTGAACAGGCACAGCTTCCTGTACCTAACAGCACATTACTGAACCATGGGTGACACTGTGCACACTGCTGAAATGCCATTAAACAGCCAACAAAAGACAAAACACACAGAACTTTTATTTGATCTATTTGTTGAGTTTTCTCCCTTTGTTGTGGACCTGTAGGCAGACACAATGCCAAATGAAAGCAGAATTTGTTTAATTCAAACCTAGGAATGTAACCAATAAAGTCAGACATTTTGGAACAGGAGGGAAAGTTTCATGATCATGAGAAGAAATCATCAAGGTAACAGAGGCTGTAATGTACATATTTAAAACACATAAATAGCCATGGATTAGTGAAGCCATAACACTCCCTCTGCAACTACATGCAACAGTAAGTTCAAATATTTTAACAGACTCCAACACATCTATATGTCACTTACTCAATTACAAGAATTAAAGGGATTGCTAAAGGCTTTCCAGAACAAAGTATTGCTGAGAACATGGGCCACAATTGCCAAGCCCATGCTTACAAGCTGTTAAACAGCCATTTGCACACATCACACCTGATCCCACCAGCAGCAGAACGCTGGCACTCAGTACTGACACAGGGCTGCATTCTGAGGCTGTGTGCCTCAGCCCAGTCACTACAGCAGGGATTTCCCATTGCTGTTACGCAGTGGAACAGCATTCTGAACACACACATGGTTTTCAGAACAGCAGGGTTTGAGGCCTTATGGTAATGCCACCAACACACAAAGAAAGGTACACGTCCATGGCTGCCCACACTCAGTTTTCAGGGCTGCAATGTTGCTCACTGAAGAATTTAACATCCAGAGGTACTACTAAGTTAAGACTTCAAATTACAGTTACTACACCCATATGTGCCTGTTTAAAACAAACCTCTGCGTACTCTTATAATTCACTGACAGAAAATTTGCTTCAGTGCACCTAGGACACAACTTCCAGCAGCACTGTATAGGCAACCACCACGTTCCTGCACGGATCATTACCTGCAGCTCACACAACCAGCAGCCACATCAGCCATGGCTACTGAACTAGATCTAACAGAAAGGGAACGATGGACTGCACTCCTCAGAATCTCAGGTTTTCACCAGAACTCAAAACTTGAAGACAGCTGTTTGTTTGCTTGTTTTTAAACTTTCACCAGAGTTGGTACAACCAACAAACCATGCTGATGAGCTGGGCGTCATGCGTTCTAGTCAGTTTTGAAATACTTACAAAGAGACCTTAAAATAAATCATACATCTGCTATAGTCAAATCCTCAAAGAAAAGAATGGCAACAAAATACATTAGAAATGTGAAGGACACTGTTAGGTGTTGTATCAGTGAATCACACACAGCAAAATCAGCTCACATTGCCAACAGGAGGAATGCCAGCCTTTCAGGTGGAGTAAAGCAATAACAAACCACAGCAAAAGGCTGTACAGTCAGTAATTCCTATACAGTCGTTTTTATTCATCTGTTCTCATTTCTCAGGAATCACCTTGTTTCTGTAAATGAAGTTACAAGACTAGAATAGTTGATCAAGAACAGAAAGTAGAATTCCTTCGGAAAACACAGGCTCTAACTTTACAAGCAATTTGAGATGTAAAGGCTACAGTCTGACATTTAATTAACCATGTAATGTTCTGTCTGTGAAAGCATATGCCCACATGTTTTTAACACATCTTCCACCTTCCACAAACTGAGTTCTAGCCTACAGTACTTCACAAATGCTTTCCATCCTGGATATTGCCACATGGTAGAAAAAATAGATTTCTGTTCTTGAAGAAAGGGTTGTTTGTGCAGGAACATTCACAAGTACCCCCCCACCCCCCAAAAAAAGAACAGCAGATAATTTTATAATATTTTCTCTTAACTACAACAGAAAGTGCAACACTAAAAAGGCATCTCCTGCCTACTTAAAATTTCTTATATCTTTACAGAGCTAACTCTTGAATGTACACAGTATATCCTAGAATACACAAACAAGTTTGAAAGTGTCATGGCAGAAATATGGAAAGCGTGCTTACAGCTTCTGTAAGCAAAAAGACACAGAGCAAACACCAGTGGAAAGTGATTATGTCTGGAAACAAATTCAAGGTGTCTGAATCTTCACTACTAGAGGGGAAAAAAAACCCATGACATCTGTTGATTCTGTAATTTTATCTGCATTTAAAGACTTGCTGCTAAGCTTCTTATCTGAAGAACCACCACAAACAATCAGGAGTTGCTAGCACAGTTAGAATTAGTCTATTCAATCCAATGGAGGCTTATTTAAATTGCTGATTGAGCCAGATTAACTTTTGTAGGAAGAGGTCCTGCTTCTTCATGTTCCTCAGTCTTGCATCTAACCACAACAAGTGCAGAGGATGGATATCTGTTCAGTTTTTGTTCATTCATGTATTCCAGATCTCCATAGATGCTCAGTTTCTGAAATATTTAAATGAACTACTTTAAGATAAAGACTCTTCATATATGAATCAATTGCATTTTGTTACACAACTACCCTCTTTCATGGCTGCAGCTCTTCAATGCAAGCTAACTCACACTTTCTGCAACATCTGAAATTCATGGCTGAGACTAGATTTAAGTCCAAATAAATGCATTTCATCTGCCAGAGGAAAAAAACAGTACATGCAGTGCTTGTGTACCAAACTCTTTAGCTTGCAAACACTGCAAGCCTTGCTCTCTTTGGGCTGTAGGAATGCTAGTTCAGTTGGTTCCCCTTCATACAGACTTTCTGCAGTCACCAACAACACGCTGTCACTTCTTTTCTCACCACTGATGCTCCTGAATTAAATCCCTACTAGTTGCCACCTGCCCCATCCAATTCTCAGGGAAACCAGAAGCAACCTCCATTTGTGAAGAGTAACCCAGAGGTTGCTAAGAAGGCAGGGCTATAAGGCAGAAGGCAGCATCTGTGCTTACTGAGCAAGGCTCAGAGCACCTATCAGCCGCAGGGACAGACAGACATTCAGCTAGAAAATCATTCAAACAACAATTTGTTTGCTAACCACATCTGCAAAATAAAAAACTCTAATTGACCCCCCATGATGCTTATTCTGTAGAAAGCTTAACGTAATAGAGTTACCTCAGATGGAACATACTGCTCTACAGCTGTAGCTACAGTTGCACAACAAATCCAGAGGAGCACCAGCACGGACAGGACAAGTGTAGTGGTTAAAATCCAACTGGAATTTCTGAAATGAAACGAATGTTACTAGATTTCATATACCAGAATACAAAATAACAGGTCTATAAAAGGTTGTGCCCAATTTTGACTGTACTTCATGCTGGTTCACTAGTCTCTCCCCAGCTGCACAGCCTAATTCTGACACCTGTGCATATAACATAGCATCTAACACTTAGTATCTAACTTGAAAGATACTAAAAGACTGCTGGATCCTGGTTTGGGGCCCTGAACTTCCTCCCACTGAAGACGGTAAGAACAGATTTTTGTTATGCACTTAAGGTGCAGTTCACTGATCCACCACATCTAAGCTTTTAAGGAAACAGTCATCAGTGACTGAGAGAAGAAAGAGGCAAGATGCTGATATGCAGCAAAACTTTAATATATACTGGGCATTTCCAGGCTAGACATGAGACACAACATTGTCTTTTGCATTTAAAAATACAAGTGTTTTGTCCTGAAACATATCTAGAGCTACAGAACAGGCAAAACACAGAACTGATGGAACAGTTTGCTGAATATACTCAAAAAACAAGTATAAACATCATGTTCCACATAAAAAAATAACCGTAGGAAATTATCAGTATCACAGTTAACTAAAATGGGAAAGAGAATGAAAGTTGGCAGGACAGCCCATAGATAACACAGGGCAAGCAGGGAACGCAGCAATAGCAAATGGCCAGATACAGAAACTTGGCTGCTTTTCTATCTGAACCTAAAGGACTCGTAACACTGATTCCTCCCACAGGGCCACCACACATGTAGGAAACACCACGGTGCCCTGTTCCAGGTACTGACATACATACATGGAAAGACACTTGAAAAAGCTCTCATTGCCTTGCTCTTCAAATAGTCCTCGGTACGTCTGCGAGCTTGCTGGCTGTGGGTCTGCTGAAATTGAACAGCAGAAATAGCTGTCAGAAAAGCAGTAAAGGTAGAAAACCCAAACTTTATCCAGTTTGTCCACAAAAAGCATGGAAAGAATCTTTCACAGTGGCCCTAGCTTGCATGCTTCTATTTCCAGGAGAGCTTGCTACCACCACACACCTCACTAATACCCATTGCAACCAATTACATTTCAGCTTTCTAAAAACTTGCTTTCATATATCACCTGCAACTTTGGCTCTGTTGGCTTTTTTTGTTTGTTTGTTTGTTTGTTTTCCTTGCATGCTCCTCCAAACCAGGAAGAAAAACTTACAAGCTGTTTTACTCAGGGACAAGGATCCTCTTGTACCTTCAGTCTCCTGATCAAGCTGTGGAACATACTGCACTTCTGGCCTCGACTAAAACAAAGCAAGGATTAAGAGATCCTGTTAGCAAGCTTCCACTAATCTTGATCGTCCACATTTTCAGAATTAATAGGGAAGCTGATCATAAGACATGCTCCATTCACATAATTTTATTCATTTATTACCCCTGTAATGGCACTAAATGCAGCAAAATGCTACCAAAAACTCAACACTTCTGACAGCGACTCACAACCATTTTCTGAGACTGGAAGGAGCACAGATAAGTATTCAGCACCCAGGACACCTCAACAAAAAGGCAGGCACCTGGAATATGACAATTTTGCCATCATCTGCTTGAAGGTAGAACGTCCATGAGGATGTTATGAAGCTCTGAGCTGAATCCATCACATCACTCCAGAAGGATCTCACCAGCGTCAGAGGAAAGAGGAGATGAATTCTTGGCATCAGGGACATTAACTGCAAATACAACATTAACTGGCTTTCAGTTTGTTTTCATATGGAGAGGGTAGAACTTATGTTCTTGCTCACTCATTTCCCCATGTCTATATTTCAGTTCTTAAAAAGATTTCATTTGAAGAATTTTAAAAAAGAGGAGACGTGCTGAACAGAAAACAAGTAGGTGGTATTTGAAAAACATGTCATGTACTTACTTGCTCTTGTCTTAACTCAGCAAATGGCAATTGGTTCTGGCATCCAAGATGGCAAGCATATTGTTCATCAGACTGGGAGTACGCCTCAGTACAGGCTGCAAGAAAAGTTCCCAAAATGAGAAGATAAATTCTGCATTTTAGTTAAGAAAACATTTTCAACATAAGTTGGATCAGAAACAAAGCAGCAGTTAAAAGATTGACAATCCCATTTGTAGGGAAAGACACGAATATCATTCCAAGGTTAGCATTTGGTGCCAGGTCTAACAGAGGTTAAGGAATTGGAGCTCACACAAATCACATATTTTAAATCTGAATGCTGTCAGAGCAACCGATCAGAAATGTTAGACTGGACAAACTCAAGGTTGCAAGTTTTCACTGATTCTCCTACTGCCACTGCATTTTTTCCTCTACAGATCACGTAAAACATTTTTACTACTTACTTTACTATCCTAGAGAACAAGGCTGGAATTCTAAACAAATAGAGAGGCCACAGATGTACTGAACCTCTCAGAGGTAACAGTAGAAATCATGGTATTCCTTAGGAAAACCTAAGGAACATTTTCCTGCTAGCACAGTAAGTAACTGTGTTGAAAGCATTGATGATTAAATTTTGAACAAGAATTAAATGAAGCCAACTCTTTATTTACATGTATCTTCTATTAATTGTTCACTAGAAACCTTGAAGACCAAGAAATCTAAACTATTCACGTTTATAGGTGGACAATACATGGGCATAGCTCTTTCCCAAAATACTAGAGCTGAGATGGATGATGTTTATGCTCTACTCCACCTAAAGCCTCCACTTAAGCAGCAACACGGAGTGCAGCAGCTCTCCCAGTTTTCCTACAGGAATAAATGCACCTTCAGAGAGGCTGGAAAGCTGGCAATTCACACAGCATCAGCAGCTAAACATTGGAGTATTTGGCTCACAGCACCTGAACAGCAATTCTACAGCAAAAGTGCCACCAAGCTAGTGTTAGGAGACATGCAGAGACATCAGAAGACAGAATTCAGCAAGTCAGCCAAGGTACATCCTGCCTGAGTAACTAGTCAGGGAACCAACCAGTGCAACAGATTACAGAACATAAGCCAGCAAAAGACAACAGCCTCAGAAAGGAGAGTTAAATCAGAAAGTAAGCAACTGTTCAATTACCTCTACGTGTGCCTTACTGCTACATCACCCTTTTTATGGCACTCTTTCTTGTATGGTTTGACAACTAGACTGACATGCTGTATCACAGCAGTACACACTGCATGACAGACTAGAGCACTAGCCCGTTTCTAGAGCATTTAATACGGCCTTGTATCGCTGTAACATCTTTGCATTTCAGGCTTTCTCCTTGTGTATCTTCCAGCAGCTCCCTAAGCTAACCACTAGCCCTCTTGTTTTTATGAATTACTGAGAAGACAAAAGCCTCCTCTGAGAGCTGATGTTGTCCTCGTTTCAGAAACAGAAGGGAGCTACTCTGCTGATTTTCCTGCTTTGGCTGGTTACATCCCACTTCATCTCTGAACAAAACTGGTAAGCAGCCACCTCAGTATTATTACATAGAAGTTCTGTACAACTGCAGAAACTGTGTTAATTGGCTACAGCATTTATATATGTCACCTTCACTACGAGATTATCCCTCTAACACAGATCTGAGACAATTAGTCATAAGTATTTAGATCCCCATTTCAAACAAAACATAATTATTGCTGTGTTGAGAGTTTAGCTTAGACCACAAGTTACAAGGCAGATGTACATTGTGATAGTTGTTCTTCATCTGAACAATTCGCTTCTATAAATGAGCCTGAAGTTGCACGGAAGCAATTGAAATAATCCCACCATTTTAACATCCTTCAGATGCTGCTGCCGTTCCCTGCCTGCATCTCCACCTTAAGGGATGTTAAAGGAGTTCTGAATTCTTACCAGAATCACATTCCAGTTTGGTTCGATTCAGATCGATGCCATCATCCACAAACTGACAAATGGAAAACAGTCTGCAGCCTCGCTGGCACGCATACAGTTCCTCTTCCTGGGGAGGCACAAGAAAAGACTTACATTCATTTCTCCATTCAAGAATAAATAGACCAAAAAAAAAAAAAAAGAAACCAAAACCCCACAACTTTTTTTTCAGAAGTGCTACAAAAAGGCATCCAGCAGAGCACCGCAATCCTTCCCTCCACCAGACCTAGAAGTCAGAGAAACACGACAGTCTGAATCATCTGGAATAAAACACAGCCACAGTTCTGTAACACTGTGATGCAGCCTGATGCACCTCAGACAGAGCTCTCAGTCCTGGGGTAAGCCAGACCTGGAACAGCAAATTCCGTTCTGCAATTCAGTTCCTACAAGTCACAGCAAAGCCACGCTGCACTTCTGAAAAAGCACAGGCCTTAAAAATAAGAGGTAACATTGCAAAAGATTTACTGACATTAACCACAGAACGAGTACACCGTCATCCACTTCAGAACTTCAACAGAGCCCAGTGGGTGAAGATCAAAACAGACTTTGTTGTGTTTTTTTGGCTGTTTGTTTTTTACACTGTGTTACAACGTACCCACCAGCCTCTAATTAGAACTCCATCAGAATCGCCAAAATAAATGATTAACTTCTGATTAATTTCTTTAGCAATACCACTGCCAATCGTTTACCTGCCCAACTAGTTCCACAAAACCACATTTTTATAGCACTGCAGAATGGTGCTTTCTCAGTGCTGCTACAACACAGATGATACACTGTACACCCATAACCCAGTATTTCTTCTGACCACAGCACAGAGGGGTGGAGGTGCACTTTCCACATATGCTGGTCTCCATGTTGCAGAGTTACAGCCAGCCTCCTTTAAGTCAATCAGATCCACCAAGCCTGGTAACTACACGGCCACCAATGTGATGGCAGCCACTTTCTTCACGGGGGGAAAACAGACTCTAAATTAACTGCACCAAAAACAAACACACCACACCTTACTGTACAATCTACTGTAAGTGCACTGTCATTGTTTGAGAGCACAAGTTCACATGCTTCAAAAGCAGCTAAGCTGAAAACACAGATAAAACTTAACACTTAACACAGACAGAATGGCTAAAACAGTTATGCTGTTACAGAAAATATGTGCTGTCCGTTAATATCACACAGAAGTGGCCGTAGCAAACGGATTTCTGTGGCATCCTTCCACAGAAGCCTTAGTAAAAGTCAACTTACTCTCCAACTAAAACAATTTCCTTCCATTCACCTGGTGGTTTTGTGAGAAATCAAACAAACTGTGACAAAACAGGTGGTTGTATTATTCAACATTCCCAGCAACACAAAACGAGTTCACAGGCAGATTAAAAATCACAGAAGCATCAGCTTTACCTGAAGTGCCAGCACAGTATGGACTTTCTCCTATTTTAGGAGAACATTTAGCCTCAATTTCCCAGGTTCAGGTCTTTCTCCTCACTATCATCACATATAGGCACCAAAACACATCACACATCCAGAACTAATTTTACCTGTGTTCCACACAGCTCCCCATTACCTCCCTGTAGAGATACCAGAATCAGGTGCTGCACCGCAAGCACCAATTTTAATTTCATATGAAAGCAGACAAAGCCCTGCTACCTCATATTAGCACCACTTCCATTTGTCTGCTGCCCTGGCAATCTCAGGGACAAGGGAACTCCCACCATTCGGAGTTCAAGCTGCTATACAGCTGCAGTTAGCAATGAAAAACGTTCCTAGTGAAAGAAAAAAAAAAAAAAACAGGATCACACAGAATGGCCCAGGTTGGAAGGAACCTCAAAGATCACGAAGCTCCAACCCTGCTGCCACAGGCAGGGCCACCAGCCTCCCCATTTAATACCAGACCAGGCTGCCTAGGGCCTCATCCATCCTCCCCTTGAACACCTCCAGAGATGGGGCATCCACAACCCTTCTGGGCAGAAAATGTTACATTTAAATTCTGAGCTGTGCAAACCTTTAAACCAATAGCAAACTCCTGAATATGTAATTATATCCCTGTTAGATATTATTTGACTATCCTGAGATGGACATTTTCTATGCAAGTGAATCTAAACATCACTGGCAGCTCTGTTAGGCCACTCGCTTGCCATCTTTGATGCTTCATCCCCCACAGTTCGAGCACCGCGTCTTGGCCTAGGCCCCTTGGCTATGGACACAGCACAGCGTTAGTCCCCAAAACACGGAGAGTCCCAACCCAAATAACAACTGCCTCTTCAGGAATAGGAGGAAAGGAGAAGCAACCCCCAACCCCACGGAACTGCCACCACTAAAACGTAAATACTCTTTGAAAGCTGTATTTGCCACAGCCTAACAGCCAGTTCAAAGAAGAAGCACGTCTCTGTACGAAGCACCGCGCTCCGTGCTTCAGGAGGTGACAACGTCAGGTAGGCCGGGAGGAAGGAGAGGGGCTCGGGGCCGAGCCGCGAGGCGGGGCTCAGCAGTACCTTGGGGTAGGTGTGCAGGGAGTAGGTCAGCTGGCAGGCGCGGTGGCAGGAAGCCGTGTTGCCCAACACGGAGTCAAAGGCCTCGGAGGAGCTGGCGGGCACGGCTCCTGCAGCCCGAGCGCGGCCTCCCGCCCACAGCAGCAGCAGGGCCGCAGGCAGGCAGAGCAGGCCGGCCCGCCGCGCCGCCATCTTCCTCCTCTGACGGGACCGGCCGCCGGTAGCCTCTCGCGAGATGATCCCGCGAGATCGCAGCTCTCCTCCGCGCGGTGCCTGCCGGGAGTTGTAGTCCGCGCCGCCTGACGGGCCCGACCGGCCGTACCCGGCGGCGGGAACTACGCGGCGCGCAGGGCGGGGCGGGGTGGCGGCTTCCGGCGGGAGGATGGAGCGGTTCGTGGTGCGCCGGGCCCGCTCACCGCAGAGCCCCCGCCGGGTCCGATCGGAGCCCCGCTCCTACCGGCAGGCCACGCTCGAGTCCCTGAAGGCGAGTCCCCGTGCTGTGCGCTCCGGTTCACGTAGCCTACGGCGCGTCGGTAGCGGCCCCGTTAGCTGCGGGGAAGCCTCGTTCATAAGAGTATTTCCCATTGGCTTTTTTCCAGAGGGTGGTCGTGGTGGAAGACATAAAGCGCTGGAAGGCGATGCTCGAGCTCCCCGGGCAGCCTAAAGAAAACCTGATGGAAGCTTTGGGGGAACTGAAGAAGAAAATCCCTTCCAAGGAAGTGTTACTGTCCACAAAAATAGGTACCGCGCTTCTGCCCCGTGCCCAGCGCCTCCGGCTGCCGCGGTCGCAGAAGCCGCACAGCGCCACCTGGTGGCCAACGGTGCTGCCGGGCGGGGAGCGGCGCGCTGGGTGCTCTCCCAGAGGAATCTGTTCGCTCAGCAGGTCCGCGTGCAGGGCGGGAGCTCTGCGTCCTCCTCAAAAGGGTTTCCAGTTTAAAAAAAAAAAGAAGAAACACATCTAGGCCAGTTATACAAGCTTTCACTAGACCCAGTATGTCTCCGTACTTGAGAAAATAATTTTCAAGTGTTTAGCTTCGTTCCTTGCTAATTTCTCTAGCAAAATCCCTGCGGGAGTCCAGGAGTGTGAAGTTCAGGCTTCGTTCTGAGTAATTTTATGCTTACATTTGTGCCAATACTCTGACACTGCCTGAATTAAAGATGTGTCTGGCTGCCGAGCACCAATGTATGTTTTGTCCGCTTACCAAAACTGTGTGACTTGTTGCCTTTTTTTCAGGTCACACTGTGAACAGGATGCGCAAACATTCCGATCATGATGTGGCCAGCCTTGCCAAAGATGTTTACATGGAATGGAGAACTTTCATCAAACACCACTCAAATAGGCCTTCAATAGAAGTCAAGAGTGATCCCAAGACTGAGGCTTTCAGAAAGAACGCACGGAAGCTGCTTTGTGAAGCCCTGGATCTAGAGGTAGTGTTCATCTCCACCACAAAGAGTAGCTGCTCATAGGAACAGGTTAGATAAGCCTTCGTTGGCTTACCCTAAAACTGGTCCTAGCAGCAGAGTGGGGACAAAAGTTCCTGTTTTCAGCGATGTATCTCGCCATTTATCAGTAGCTTTGTGTTAAAGGTAGATTTGTGGGGGTTTTTTTGTTATTAAACAAGTGAACACACTAATTGTACATTGTACACGTGATCTCATTTACATCACCAGCCAATAGAGTAGCTGTGTATGTAATGTAGTTGGGTTGGATAAGAGAAGGAGGAAGTTAGCAGAACATAAAGTTTTGACTATTAGTTGTCAGCAGTTAAAGCAACACTGGGACCTTTGGGCATTTCATATTTAAGTAATTAAACATTTGTAAATTGAAATCTATTGCAAAAACATAGAGGCAAGTTTGACAGTATGTAAAATGGCAATAATTACTAGATCCCTCTGGTGTCTTTAAGTAAATGAACAGAGTTTTGCTGTGAGGCTGAACAACTTGCTTGCTTGGTCTGTGAAACACTGTAATAATTATCTCTTTAATTTATTCATTAGTTGTCCTTTAAACAGCAAGAAAAGTGATAAGCACTCAAGAATTTCACAGCTATGTGTTTGCCAGCTATGAGAACAACCTCTCCAACTTCCCATCCATCTGGGCTGGGGCAGAGCAAAAAGGTCATTTAGTGTGAGGGTGCTTTGGGATGATTATGTGAGGAGCTCCCTGTTGGGTCAAGCACAGCAATAAGGCTGGCAGTCAATTTCGAGCCTAGGAGACATGAAGGCTACAAAGCAACCCTCAAATAGAGGGTACTGGGTAAGGTAGGACAAGGCAGAATTAATTCTGAAGAGGACTTACCTGAAAGTATGGCAAGGAAATCTACCCTTGTGGCTTGCAGCTGCCGTTGCATCTACAAGTAGAGCTTGTATCTGGAGGATGGACAATTTTTAGAGGTAGGGGAGCCACAGAAGTTAAGCAAGTGGAAAGCAGGCTGTTTAGAAGGGGAGAATGGGGCTGAATGGACACAATAGGGCTCCAAGTGCTTTCCAGCAGAGGGGTAATTTAGTTTTGGGTAGCAAAAAGAGAGTGAAAGTGGTGGGCAAAGGACTTGGAGGAGTATTGGTTGACACACTGGAATCTCCCATATGAGTAGCATGGGAGATTCCCTGTCACAAAAAGCAGAAGTGAAATTAAAACCATTTCTTGATGGGCAGGCTGTTTTTTTTTTCCTAAGCTCTTCTAAATTACAGGTTTTGGCACATGTTGAAGCAATAACTACGTAATTAACATTTAGTAAATCCCTTTCTGCATTCTTAATTATACCTCCTTTTACACACGCAGAGCCTGCATCTCCCTTTATAGCACCAAGCAGAGTTGCCAAGTGTTTGGCATGTCTTATAGTTGCTACTGGAATTGAGTTTAAAATAGCATCCGAGGTGCCTTATATCAGCAGGATCAAAAAGTGAGCTTCACAGAGACAGCACAACACACAGAGCACATCATAGCTTCTAATTGTGGTTCCACTTGGAACCCAAGGCGAGTTGCAGATTAGTTTCCTGTCGTGATGGCAAAGCACTGCCGCCCAGCTGGACGTGTGAATATGTTCCCTGCTACTGACCATGCTGCCTTGCTCCTTAATTGCTAGGGTAGAATTAAATTGTTCTTCCTGTTGCACTTGTGATGAGAAGTAGATTTCCTTGAATCTACGCTGATTAATGAAGAAACACCGAAAAGCACCAAACTCCAATTTCAATCAGTTGGTCTCCTTATTAAATGTAAAGATCTAATTTTATACTTTGCTGTTTTTCAGATTGATCACCCACTGGCTGAAAATATTGAGCGAGAAGCTTTTCATCTCTCTTCACGTCTCATTAGCGCGCCGTATCGCAGAATGGTGCGAGCTCTTGTCTTCTCATTAAAGCACAAACCTGAAACCCGAGCAGAAGTCAAGGCTGGCACGCTCACCGTCCCCGCGTTTGTGCAGAGCCATAAAAAGTGAGGTGTCGTGCTCAGTGCCGAGCGAGAACTTCATGTGCCTGCGTCTCTGCGGAACTAGGAGCCCTTTCTGTCACAAGGGGATTGCCGAAGTGCTGACAGTGTGACTCACTTGGCTGAGGACAGGAACTTCTAGTGATGAAAGCAGTGCTTTAAATCTGCGTGGGGTTGCTGCACAAAAAAAGTTTCTTCTGCTCTGCTGTGTATTTTCCTGGTCTAAAGCCGCCCCTGTTCACTCACCTCTTTCTGTTGTCAGTTTGTTATACCTCAGTTCAGCTCCATCTCTGTTGTGGATCTTCAGGTGTAATTAGCTGAATGGCATAAAGGACCATCTCTGTGCTGGTGAGAAATAGTGGAAAATCGGGGCGATTGCTTCATGGGAGGAGGTTCCTAATGGATAACTGCAAACCCTCGTTGATCCTAAATCAGCCAAGTCTGCTGTGGCTGAGCCCTGTTTAGCCAAGCCAGGTGATTTCCCCTGCATCCACAGTGGGATACAAAACAAGTTTTGATGATTTTGTTGTGGATGCCCCATCCCTGGATGCATCCAAGGCCAGGCTGGATGTGACCCTGGGCAGCCTGGTCTGGTGGTTGGTGACCTTGCACATAGCAGGGGGGTTGAAGCTAGACGATCACTGTGGTCTTTTTCAACCCAGGCCATTCTGTGATTCTGTTTTCTATCCATCCTTCCATAGGTGCAGTCATCCTGCAGTGGTGGGCATTTTCTGAAACCCTGGGGTGACAACCGAAACGCCCTGGGGTAAAGGTGCTATTTAATACCTCTGCTTAATGAGCAGCTTGTTCTGACTTCCATACCTCACTCATGATTGAAATGTGGTGCTTAGTCTTAGTGTAACGTTAAAAAATAAACCCCACCTTGAAATGAATTTTTAAGATACAATTATGTTGTGAGGAAAACATTCCACATCCAGGCTTTTTTTCTCTGTAAAGAGCATGTTTCAGAATGATGGTGTTAAATAGATTTAAGTAACAAACTATTGTTTGCATTGCTGCTAGTTATTAAAACCTGGAAACCTTGCCTTTCGTATTCTGGTTTCTTTAGTGCCACAAGTCATCTTGCTCTCTCTATGCTGTTATTAAGGCTGTGTGACAGGCACAGTCTTTCTCTAGTGGTGGAGAATAAAGTGCTCTCTGTTCTCTGTGCAGGTACAAAGCAGTGGTCACAATCCATTTTCTGAGTTAACGGGGTTGAAAGAGTCAAGTGCTGGGATGAGTGAAACCTGCTTGTTCACAGGCATGGGAACTGAAGGGTAATGCAGCGTAAGGAGGTGTGCTTTGATCAGTCGTGGTCAACGCTGACCTCAGGGGAGTCCCTTAAGAACAAATAACGTGGTGTGAAAGTGATGCGGTATTCAGATCTTCATCTTAAAACAGGACTGGGTGTCAGTAAGTGGGTCTGCTAAATACTCCTTTGGACACTACGACATCCAAAGCATGGGTAGGTGTGCTGGAGACAGAACCTGGCAGTGGTGACTGAGGACAATGCATCAGTAAAGACCTGACACTTTATGACCAGTCTGGAGCAAGAGATGTGAAAACCTTCAATTTCTTACAAGTAATCAGATCCATTTCCCACTTAGCTTCAGGCTGTAATTGAATTCACCCAGCTTGGACTGTCACAAAAGGAGTTCAGGATCAATGAGTGTCGTAGGTTTTGTTTCCATAGCTGCAATGCCAATACCTGCCACACAGAGGAAAGAGATGTGGATGCTTACCAGATGATATCCGTAGTAGTGCTGTAAAATCTGAAAACAAGGTCACATAGACATGAACAGGGCTTTACATGGCCAACTCTTCTGGGTGACTTTATCTACATCTCTCTTGGCCCCTGACACCTTTCTTTTCTGAACACACTTGAGGGAGAAGCAGTTGTTGTTCCATCTATTTTGGATGCCTTTCAGCTCTTTGAAGCACACGTTGCAGAGAAGATATTTTTTGGCCTCATTCTCAGTACATGCTGAGTATTTCTCTTTTGGGAATTAACTCCAGGAGTGCAGTTACTGCACACCAGTAAACTCGAATAAATTTGGTCTATTTTATGGCTAATACTTTCACAACAATTTTTCCAAGGGACCCAAGCGCAGAGCTCTGGGTCCAGCTCTTGCAGGGTGGTGTTAAAGCTGCAGGGACACGTGGGATGAAGATTCACTGAGCGGGGGAATTGGGAGAGCTCCCCAAGGGCTGGGCTGGGGAGCTGCAGCAAGCAGGAAGCACAGACAACAGGGGAATGGTTTAAGGACTTCTGAAGAGCAAACCCACAGGTTTAGGAGGCAGCAGTGAAGGAAAGCTTCACAGTGCTGCAAATTGCTGGGGCGAAAGAAGAAGGGAGCAGGTGAGACCCTTCCCTTCCTTCCTGAAAAAGAGAGTGCAGTGCCTCAGCCTTGCTTGTCTTTTAAGAGGCTCTTCAAAGGTTTCTCCACAAAGAACCCAAACTTTTAGATCTCTCTCGCTGCGATCCGAATGCTTTGCCGAGCTGGCCCTGGAAGAAGAGATGCTGAGACAAGGAGCAGCCCCAGATGCTCTCTCAAAGCCCCCAGGGCCCCAGCTGCTTCTGGGGGCTGCAGAACCACAGCCCCAGTATTGCACCAACCTTCCACTGCAGTACTGCCAGGGTGGCAAACCCAATGCTTGGCTTATAGAACCAAAAAGGAGCTGTAAGGACCCAGCCAGGTGGCTCCTGAACACCAGCACCCGGATTCAGGGGAAACTGAGGCACAGAGAAGCTCAGGCATCCTGAGGGATGTCACCAGGGAAAGGGCATGCCAGGGTTATACTGCAATTAGCACTGCTCTAAATTCTTCTGCTGGCAACATTTATGGTCCCTGTCAATTAGACTAGATTACAGGATAATCCTTGCTAATTATATATTATTATACACCAAGCAGTTATCTCCCTATAAAAGGTGCCCCTATCATGGACAGGCGCTCTTCCCGCAGCACAGCCTGCCCAAAGAGCAGGATTGCTTTTGTGCAGCCACTGGTTTGCCTAAACTGAAATTTTCACATTGTGACACCAATGGAGGGAGGAGGAGAAGGACGATGCCTCAAGCCCAGACCCCCCAAACCCACCACAGTGCTGGCTTTGGGAGAGAGCTCCTCCCACGGCCAGAGCTCAGGAGATGCTTGGATAGGGCTGCGGGCAGCACAGATTTAGAGTGATCCTTAAGGCAACACCATCCTTTGAACATAGCAGCTTCCCGTGTTCCCCAATGCCTCGTTTCATCTCTGCACACCCAATCCCCAGGAGCACGGGGAGGATGACCTCACTGTCCTCTGGGCTGCGACGACTGAGAAATGGGAGAGACGGCTGCTTAAAATAAGCCGGGAAACAACAGCTCCCTGCAAACGCTGTCCTTGCATTTTTAATTGCCCATATGCTGGATCCATTATGCTTCCCCAGCTGGCGGGGCTGGTGGCTGCTGCCTGCTCAGCTGTGCTCCATCGGGTACCTGCAGGGTGGTAAAGGGGTGGCAGTGGGCTGCGGGGTGTGCAGGGAGCACAGATTAGAGGAGCAGAGCTGCCTCACTCCAGGCATTACGTGAGAGAGAAGAAAAATAATGTGAGGAGTTAAAGCAGGTTCAGAGCTGGACTTCATGGCCTCTGAGCAGGACATGACCTTGCTGGGGCCACAGTGTACAAACCCTGAACATGTCCCATTTGGGAACACCTGCATCTGCCCCACTTTTGAGGAGCATTTCCTCTAACAAGCACCTCACCCCTGAGGCAGACTGCTTTCAGCCACGGGATGTGATGGAGAGAGAAGAAAACAGCCCTGGAGGGAGTCACTGAAGCAGTGGGGTCTGCACCCAGTCCACTGAGGGAATAAGCTCAGTGCTCAATATGGCATCCCAGGGGTGGGACATGCACATTTGTCTGGTCAGCAGTGCCAGAGCCTCACCCCCCTTAGTGAAGAGATGAACACAACATTCTTATCAGAATTAACTTACAAGAGCAGCACAGCTCCAGCCCCCAGTTACACCTCTCCTTTCTCCTGCCAGCCCTCTCTGTTAGCTCTCTGTATAGCTCACGTACTGCACTGCATCACTTGTTGCAGTGATGAGCAAACCCCCAGCACCACCATCACCCTCACAGCTCAGTGAGCACAGCGCGCACAGAGCCCCATTGGTGGAAAAGGTTGCCTGAGGCCAGGAGGGTGGCGGAGAGCCCAGCACCCAGGCAGCTACAAGGGACTTTTGTCCAGCCTGGAAAGCACTGCATGTGACCTGCAGCATCCCATGGACAGGGAGGTGTTCCAGAACCATGAGGATGTGGCACTGAGGGACATGGACAGTGGGCATGGTGGGGTGGGTTGGATCTCAAAGGTCTTTTCCAGCCCTAATGATCCTTTGAGATATGGTGTAAGGGCATGTAGAAACACCACCCAAAAGCACCCACATGTGCTGTACCCATCACCGCACACCGAGGGGAGATGCTGATGTCTGCAGTACGGATCCACAGTGCCCACACCAGTACAGATGGGGAACAAGGAGAACATTTGTTACAAATATTGCTATATTTGGGGGTAGTTGCTATGTTCAGGAATTCAGCAGTTGACAGGATTACTTCCAGCCATCAGCAAACAGCCTTACTTTCCCGAAAGTAGAGGCACCAGCGGGAAAACAAATTGAAGCAGGTGTGGGAATAGTTACAGAGCATAAGAAGTGCATTCCTGAGCCAAATGGACAGATTGAGAGACAGAGGAAAACTGATGGGAAGGAAAGTGGCTGCCTACCACCCAGATCTCAGGCATGGGAGGTGGAGGTTGGGCTCGGGCTTTGTTTCACCATCTCCATTTCAGCAGTTGTGTTAGCAGTAAACGTGGGGCAAGGGTGGTTTTGGGGACCACGTTTCCAACTTGAGTTTGCTACAGCAGCACGAGCCCAACCACAGCGATGACCATAAGCAGCCCAGCCAAAATGCAGATGCTGATGAAGACGATGTCACTGGTGTCCTGGCTCTTGGTTTCGTGGGCATCCATCACTCCCACCCCTCTCTGCTTCACGTCAACCATATTTTCTGCCTGGCTCAGCCTGTGTGGGTCAGGGCCAGCAATGAGGGACACAGAGGCTTCCTTCCTCTTGGGCTCACACTGCACCTCGTACCGGTGGATGTCCTCCTGGTCACCCACCGAGAAGTCGATGTAGAGCGTGCTGACAATGATGGATGTGTTGTTTCGTCTCTGCAAGACAAGGCTTGAGACTCCTCAGGGCTCATCTCCACAGGCTTGTGGAGACAGCTCTGAACATCCAGCTGGCAGCAAAGCCCAGCATCCACTGGGAGCATGGGAAAGAGGCCAGCAACTCCTTCCCACAGCTGGTGTTACCAACAAAATGTCATGGAATCACATAATCATTAAGGTTGGGAAAGACCTCCAAGATCACCCAGTCCAACCCCAACCCCTCCCCACCAACCACGTCCCTCAGTGCCACATCAGTTCTGCAACACCTGGAGGGATGCTGACTCAACCACTCCCTGGGCAGCCAGGGCCAGGGCATCACTGCTCTTGCTGAGAATTTTCTCCCTGTATCCAACCTGAACCCCACCCCCAGCACAATTCGAGGCCATCAGCTCTCATCCTACTAGCAATTAGCTGGGAGAAGAGACTGACCCCAGCTCACTGTAACCACCTTTCAGAGAGCTGTAGGAAGAGATGTCAGCCCACTGCCCAGCTTGCTTTGCAGGAAGGTTTGCCAAATCCTTACCTGAGACTCAGCGCCGCATGTGTCAAACCTGGTGTGTATCCTGAAGTGTGAACCGACCACTTGAGCCACGCAGGAGGGCATCCCCAAGTACACCTTGTTCCTCTGCAGCTGGGCCAGGGCCTGCACGGGGATCTGGATGTGGAAGTCTGTCCGTGTGCAGCTGATGTTCATGGGTACGACTGTCAGAACCGAAAAGGAGCTGTCACCACTGCCACCTTTTGTGCTTGCTGTCCCCGCGACACATGCAGCTGGTGGTGGTGGGGACAGCAGGGACTCCAGCCTGATGGCTGCTATGTATCATGCCACAGCCATGGCTTGGGGACTGATGTGACAAGTTGTCTTTTCAGGGGTTGAAAAAAAGAGAGTTGTTTCATACAGCAGTGGTTTAGCCCTGCCTGCACTGGGTCTGCATACTGTGGGCTCCCAAGTACTGGACAAACCCCATCTCTTTGAGCAGAAAGCAATGGATGCAGGAAGGAATCAGGGAGGAAAAAATGCCCCTCTCCTTTGAAATTCATCCTCGCCGAGCTCAAACCAAGCACTTGGACAGTAATGAATTATTGAATTATTCCAACTCCCTCTGAATCTCGGCCTTATGAAACTGGTAAGATGCAATAAAATCAATATAAAAAAACAGTGTCAGTTTGCTACACTTAGTGCATTACAAAAACCATTAGAAGATTTACCAAATAACTAAAGTGCATTAGATGAAGAAGAGGAGGAGGAGAAAATGGATCCTCTCTCCTTGCATGAAGGCTCTCATTCCAATGGCCGTAAATCACACAAACCCCACCCAAGTCACCTCGTGGGCCCAGACAAAAGGAAAATATCTGCAGGAATGAAGAGTTACGAAAATTGAGATGCCACTCTCTCATATTTCTGTGGTGCTGGGAATGAAACATAGCTTACTGAGTGCCTGGTACAAACCTTACCCCTCTCCAGCCTGTAAAGGCTTAGGATATAGCTCCATCCCCTCTCACTGCCAGGGCTACATTCTCCAAAATCCCTTCTGCTGTTCTCCCTATGACGTATGATTCTGCTGCTGAGAGATTAAAGCTCCTGCACCCAGCTCAGCTGCTGCAGCTCCAGTGCTGCAGCACCAGCAGCTCTGCAGGCAGGGTGCTGGGCTGGGCTGCACACAGATGCTGCAGCTGCTCCTCCATTCCACAGACCCCGGGCTCATCCTGTGCTGAGTGCAGGCATGAATTATGCCCGATACGTGGGTCAGCTCAGACGTAATTATCCTGAAATACAGCAAATGTGGCACTGAGGTGTGATGGCACCAACACAAAATGACTGAGTTATGGAAAGTGGTTTTGATGCATGAGAGGGTACCCAAATGCCTGGCCACCTCTCCTCAGACTTTCGTCCCTTTGTCGCCATTCACAGCAGGGGAGTTGGACTAGATGACCTTTAAAGATCCCTTCCAAGTCAAACAATTCTATGATTCAGCGAAAAATCCCATGGTTCTTACACTCACTGGGATGAGCGGATGCCTTACCTCCAACGTAGGCAAGGGAGAAGCCCCGCTTGGCCGTGCTGCGGTCTGTGTGGAGCACCAGCAGCAGCTGATGGCTGCGGGAGGTGAGAGGCGCTGGGCTCTCCCTCCCACACCATGTCCCCAGCAGGGAAGCGTTCTCAGCTCCACCATCAAAGGCATCCAGGCGGTCATAGTCACAGCCACTGGTCAGGCTGCTCCGAGCCTCCAGCTCCAGGTCCAAGAAGAAGACTTTGATCCGGTAGCCTGGGGGTAGCTGGATGCTCCACTGACACTGGAGGTTGTTGGGGTAGAAGTTGGGGTACTGAGGGCTGGAGAAATTTCCCTTGATGGTGGTGTAGACTTCCTGGCATTCACCTGCTTAGGGAAAAAGCAGAGAGGGGAGAGAAAAGGATAACTGAAGTCTCCTGGCTGATGAGTGCTCATCTATTTTGCTGCTAAAGCTTGATCTGCCCTCTGTCTCACTGCTACTTAGTGTCTGGCCAATGCTCATCCAAAGGTTTTAAGGAACGGCAGCGTCTGAGGAGACCAAGGCCATAGACTTAGAAATCCCAAGTTGGAAGGGACCCATGAGGATCACAGAGCCCAATTCCTGGCTCTGCACCCAAACCCTATGTCTGAGAGCAACACCGCATCTCCACACCCTTCCCGCCACCCCCCAAACCTTGCACCTGAGTAGAAACGGGCCTTGAAGCCCCTGCCCACGATGTTGAAGTCCGATTTGAAGAGGATGAAGAGATGTTGGGTAGAGGAGATGATGCGGGGCGGGCGGGTGCTACCGCAGTAGCGACCCAGGTGGGGAGCAGCAGCAGTGGGACCATCAAAAAGAGCCACGTAGTCAAAGCCACAGCCTTGGCCACCCTCTACTTGGAAGTCAGCAAAGATCAGAGTGAGGGGGCCATCAGTTGCCCTGATGCTCCAGCGGCACTCTGCATCATTGGGGTAGCTCTCGGGGTACTGCGGGCTGGCGATCTCCCCAGACAGCCCCGTCAGTTGCCCACCACATGCATCTGCAAGGAGGTACAGCCATCGAGGTCAGTGAGTGCGTGGGCACGGATGGACACCCTCATGGCCACCCCCTTCCCCATTACCTTTGTGGTAGTTGGCAGCAAAGCCACGCTTGGCCACATGCCGGTCAGAGCGGAAGACCACAGCCATGATGTGCCAGGCAGAAGCAAAAGGTGGTGGGGCACTGCAGCCACAGAAGGTGCCCAGAAGGTTGCCCTGGTCCCGGGATGCCCCATTGTAGACTTGGAGATAATCGTAAGCGCAGGCGGCGTGGTACTCCAGCTCAAAGTGGCTGAAGGAGAGCAGGACAGAGGAGCCCTCAGCCACCACGATCAGCCAGGTGCACTCCGTCTCGTAGGGGTATGGCCCCGGGAAATTGGGGCTGGAGAAGTTGCCAGAGGGTGCTGAGAGCACCCCGCCACATTTGATGCCTGATGACAGGAAAGAAGGGTGGGAGGCAGATGTGATGAATCCCTTCTAGGACACACCTAAAAAGATGGTGGGCAGTGGGACTGGACTATATGGGAGGCACTTCCTCCTCCACCCCCCCTGCAGCCCTGCTGAATGATGGATTCCCACACTTGACCATTTCCATGAGCTCATCCCACTGTCCACCTACAGCTCAGTGGCAGTATCTGTTTCTTGCTGGGAAAAAGTAAAGAGTAAGTTTTAAGAGAGCAGTGGCTACACCCTGGCTGGTCCTCAGCGAGGAATATACTTTCCTTTTCCCAAAAGCTGCAGGGGGGGAAATGCAGTGCCTGCACGTAAGGCAGCATGGCTAAGGCAGCCCCATCCTCAGTCCTGTGCCAGGAGGCAGCTGCAGCATGCTGCCCCACACAGCCTCTAGGGGTGCTCCTCAGCTCCCCAATTACAGGGACTCTAAAGACAGATATTAAATGTAGGGTTAAGCCCATGGGCAGCCCATCCCTTCAGCTTTTTGACACTTGCTCAAAACATTCCCCTGCGTATGAAGGTGGTATTGGTAAATTCAGGCTAGGGATGAAGGGTTCAATGTGCTTCACAATGAGTAGTGCATGTAGGGATTGATTTTCTAATGAAACCATTATAGTGAGACATGGTTATAATGAAACAAGGCAGGGAGGGAGCCAGGACTGGGTGCATATGCTGCACAGTGGGCACAGACATCATATCTGGGAGGGGAGCAGGCTCTGTGCAGCCTATGGGGAACACGTGCTGGATCCCAAATATGGCTGCATGCTCACTGCCATCAATCTGGGTGAAGCATGTGCAAATCAATACTCAGCCATTGCATACTACTGTCCATTATGCTTGTCAGTGTGGTGACCCAGCAAGAGAGGGAGCTGAGGACATGCAGAGTGCTGCACTGTGAGCAGATCTGGCGTGCATGTGTGCAAGAGCAGCAATGCTGGTGGATCTCTGCACCTTGCTAATTACCAGCGATAGGCAATCAAGCCATACAGGACTGTGCTAAAAGCCTGATGTTACTGGAATTCATATCCAAGAGGGAATCCTGCAGGAGGGGTGGGTCACTGAGGATGGGGCGCCTGGGCTGCTCTGCATTTTGGGGAGGGATATTGCCAGCTGCCTGAAACAACTGGCTGAGCTGTCCCACCCCAACCCCATGGAGTACTGTGGCCCATGCCCAGGGTCACACTGTATAGATAACATGTGGGTTTTATCACACACAGCAAGCTGCACATACATACATACAAACACATACGTGTATACTGGTGCATATGTACATATATATGTACATAGAACTGCAGAAATTAACAAACCCTTCAACAAGGTGCCTATAACCACAAGACAATGCCTACCTACCACCTAAAACAAGCGTGACCTAGGACTCACCACCCCACGTACCTGCACGCCCAGTGCTGCTGAGCCGTCCCCAACCCCCGCCATGCACAGAACCTTACCTCCACTCGGGGCCACCCTGAGCACTGTGCAGAACAGGGCCAGAACCGACGTGCAGCCCGTGGCCCTGTGCCCCATCCTGCTGTCACCACCACCCGTGCATCTCTCTGGAGCTGTCTGTCCAGGAGGGAAAAAATAAATACGGGGAGAAATAAATAAAAAGCAGGAGGGCTGCAGAATTAATAGTGGAATGAATAATTCATCGCTTGTTTGAATTAAGAGCAGCAAGCAACTTGATCTATTCCTCCCTTCCTTCACTCGGTTTTAATGATCTGGATCAAATGTCCCAAGGATTTACACTATAGCAGATACCTTGTCAATACACTATATTTAGAAGAGATATTAATGCTTCAGATATGGTGTATAATGGCAGTAAGTCTGGGCTGACAATATGCCCTTAAGGGGCTATGAAAATAATTTAGTTCACCAGGCAAGACAGCAAACCAAAATGGGAATTTCAGGCTCACCACGGAAAAGTACCTCAGGAATTAACGTGATTTATACTGGAGCACAAGCCAACTGTTGATAAAAGCTGGAGACACCGGCAGCATCCCAGCGTTGGGCTTCTCACTGCCTGCCCAACAGCACAGTGCCTTCACAGCCCATGCTGCGCACAGCCGCAGAGGCCTGGCAAAATAAAGCCAGGCGTGGGAGAAACCTCTGCTTGAAAAAGGCACCTTCCAGGCGGTGGGGAAAGAAGCAGCCAGCGTCTCCAAACCTCAGCCACGGAGATGAGTTGCATTTATTAATTAAGCAATGAGGATCGATGCCTGAGACATTTCCTGTGGATTAATGATGGGCTGGGAGGAGCCGTTGGCCCGAGGTGCTGCTAAGGACCATTAACGCCAACTGGCCATTAATTCCCAGGAAACGCTCCATGCCAAGGTCATTAAGTGCCTGTATTTACGTATGGGTAATAACAATAATGTTTGGCTGGGCTCTCTGCCCCTGCCCAGCCTCATTGGAGCCATGCGGAGCTGGTTGGCACCAGACACACATCCCACTGATGGCACGTCCACCTCCTCGGAGCTCAATTAGCTGGTGCCAAATGAGCTGGGATAGAAAGGATCTGTCCCCACGCTGTATCAAGGTGTCATCAGGACCAAGACCCCAGCCAGGACAGTTCTCTTGTCTCAGAAAGTCCACAGGTCCACCAAGAAGTTTACGGCTTATCCACCACAGTCACACCAGGCTCCTTCCACCGCCATCCTCAGCACTCTGACACCTACGTGACCGCTCATCTCCATCCCTCCAGCTGCGCTCCGTGTCAGCAGTACCCCCAGGAGACGGGGAGGAGACAGGGGCCAGGGCTGTGCAGCACACCAGCTGTGACCCCATCCTGGGGAAAGGCATCCATCAGCCTCGGGCACATTCACCCGCTCCTGACCTGGGGATGGCAATTCCCCGGCCGGGCCGAGCCCAGGCAACACCATCAGTCAGCAGAGCAGAGGGGATGGGGGGAGGATGAGAACAGCAGTAATGCTGATGAGAAGCTAGGCAGCCCTTCACAAATGGCTCTGGCTCAGGCCGGAGACATCATGGGGTGTTGTTTTCTGGTGGGTTTGTTTTTTTTTTTTTTGAGGCTGCTGAATCAGGGCTCCCCGAACTCCTTGGTGGGAAGATCTATAAATCATGAGTCAAAAAGGCATTTGATCCATTTAAGCAGGAAGGATGTGCTCAGGACCGCGAGTCGTCAAGAGGAGATCAAAGTTTTAAACGCGGTCCCCCAGGAAGAAGTGGAATTATTTAGGCAGGGAATAATGAGATGAAATTAAGAAGGTATTTGGGCTGCCCACGAGGAAGAGAGGAAGCAAAGCTCCTCTCCCTTGCACAGCACTGCAGGGGTCTCATGGGGGACTCAGTGTCCCTGTGAGCCTCGCTGGGGTGGCCAAAGCAGCCGAGCACCCCGCAGGACAGGCAGCAGCCTGCCTTCTCCTTGGGGTGGGCAAGGACCTTCCAGAGCCCTCCATCCCACTGCTGCCCAGCAGTGCCCTCTGCACTGGGCTGTCCCCATGAGCCAGGAAGAGGGACCCATGGCACATGACATCGAGCATGAAAAATGACAAAAGGACAGTGGTGAAGGGGGAGGGAAGAAAAAGAAGGGCAGAAAACGCAGAACAAAGCACCGAGGGCTGTTTAAAGGCTCCTTTGAGTTCATCACGCCAAGGACACGGTCTCCCCTATGGAGAATTTCTCACAGCCCCCATCCCCTCCGGCACAGCAAATCGGGCTGTCGGCTGCATGTTGTCTCCTCCCGCTGCCCTGCAGGCTGCCTTTGCAGGATTGCAACCCGCAGCACTCACAGCTTGCTCTGTCTCTCACCACCCTCCCTTTTAGCCACGAACAAAGACAGGAGGCTTCGCAGCAGAATGGCCAGACCAGCTGGGTAAGGTTTAACCATCGTGGCCCATATGTGCTGAAATACCCAGACATATTGGGGTTGAGCTTAAAGGAACAGTCCCAGCTTTTGCTTGAAAATGCGCTGCTCTTCCAAAGCAAGCGTGAAGTTTTACCTCAGGCCTTTGCTAAAAGGCTTTGTGGGTTTTTAGCAGCATCTCCAAAAGGCTGGATGCTTAAAGCAAGAGGTATATAAATATGGCTTTCAGAGTACGTAACATCAGAGGAAAATATTTCCTGCATTCCCAGCCAGGAACAAAATAGTGAGAGCAACCAGAGATGGCAGCTCTTTATTTTATCAGCCCCACACTACATAGAAGCACCTCCACTACAGTGTGGGTTATGGTGGCTAAAACACAGTTTGAAGAGGCACTAAGAATTTGCCTTGGACCCTAATGTGGGCAACATCACTGCATCCACCTGCAGTAAAAGCCAGAACTCTAGGCTATGAGAACAGCCCTCAATCTAAAGAAGTTAGCTTAAAAGCTGCATCCACACTGGACTGAGTCCAGGCACTTGGTAACTGGAGACAAACCTCATGTCAGCAAGGGGAACCCATGCCATTTAAGACTATGTCATGCACTGTAAACATGCACCTTTGTGCAATTGCAAAGAACTTCTTGTGGTTTAGTGGCAACCATGGCAGACTGTGTCTGCAGGGCCCAGGCTGCTCAGAGCTCTGACCCTGAACCACGTGAGAGGGCAGGCACATCCCGAGCTTAGATCCAGCTCTGTTACAGACCCCAGTCTCACAGGAAAAGACAAGAGTTCTCCCACACCCAAGTGGTACAGTTAAGTATATTTACTCACCAAACACACACATTGTTATGAGCCAAGAAAAGGTGTCAGAGCCTCCCTGCATCAGTGAAGGAGTCAAAAACATGGTCAAGATGATCAGCCCATCCTTCACATGATCTCACCACCAGTGTCACTCCTGGAGCAAAGGCAAAGCTAAAAAAGCAGAAACAATGCAATCAGTTGCTGTCTGCAGGACCTCAGGTACCCACACAGCTTCCCAACGTGAAGCAGCGCCATCCTTTTGAGCAGCTCTCGAGGTATGTGCCCCCTTGAGCAAGGAGTATTATTTCAGACAGGTAAAAAATAGGCAGAGTGATGATGCATCATCTGCCACAGCCATGGAAACCCTGTGAAATCCCAGCACAGGATGAACAAGGAATGAATGGCAAAACAGAAAGGTGTGCCAAAAGGGTATATGTCCAGGTGCAGCTAGTAAACACTGAGGTCTAAGAGGTAAAAGAGTGGAGAGAAGATAACTCAGATCAAAGGCAGAAGCACTGTGCACTAGAAGGAAGGGGCTGGAGTGCTCTGCTGTGCCCTGTAGAACAGTATCCCAGCAAAGCCCAGTGGAGCTTTCACTCCTCACATGTTGTTCTTACACGCTCAGGGGTGCTCAGGACACTTTCACTCTGTGAATAACCTATGACAAAAAGAAACAGCTGTTTATTTGACAGTAACTTCAATTTAATGAATCAGGACTCTTACACAACACTTAGGGGACACGGAAAGAAGACAACCATCTTTCCCGATAGACAGCAGCTACGCTGATGCTTCCCCACAGACTTTTAGGACATTCCCCTCCTCCCTCCAGACAGTACTGCAAGGGTTAAGGCTCAGCACAGGCAATGCAAATCCTCCTTGAGCACCATGCACAATTCCACCCTCACATATAGGAGGTCTCTTTTTTTTTTTTTGTACACAGCTGGAAAGGCTTTTTCCACAGAGCAGCACCTTCATCCCCATATTAATGTATTAGAGGGCAACTGAGGCACAGGGAGGCTGAAGAGACCTGCCTGGCCTCACCCAGCAAGATAACGGCACTGAAATGAACCCCACAGACACCAGAGCGTCACGCAGCGCTCTGCTGCTCCTGTGGCCTCACTATCTTCTCCCAAGAAAGAAATCTCTCCAGGGTACAACCAATGGGGCACAATATCACTGCATACTAACAGACTTCAAAGCAAGACATTGGTCTACATATTACAGCAGACGTGTACACTTGGATGCTTCTTAATATCCTTAAGAGGTGTCTCTCAAAACTGCATGTAAAGGCTCCCACTAAAAAGACTATGCAGTTCCTTCAGGTATGGTGATTGTAGCAGCCACTCTGGAAGATCACCTGATCTTTAAAACTCTCAAGATTGAGAACCATACTGGAAAAATATATTTAATCCAAAGGCCTATGAAACTATAGGCATAAGGATCTGAGTCTTTTGAGATGACTGATTTTGAGCAATGTCTTTGAACAAGATACCCTAGTCTTGGCCTGACGCTCCTTGGTTCAGGAATGCTTTGCTAAAAGGCAAAACAGGAATCTTCTTCGACTCCCGCAGCTTTCAGATATCTGTTCATGTCTTCAGTGAATGCAGAAGATCCACAGATTAATACAAATGGCTTTCTTCGGCAGGAATTTATTATTGTCTTTATCAAGTCCTCATTTAGACGACCAGTGTATGTGTTTTCCTGATAGCTCCAAGGAAGATTTTCCAGTGAAGTTTCCTGAAAAGGCAAAAAAGGACAGTAAAAAGGGCAATAAGTTGCTTACAGCTGTATCATCTTCTTCCCCTCAGAGTACTACACGGGGTGTTTTTTACCCTTGGGACTCCAACCTGGATAGCAGTGATCTATCCCAAGACCTGTGGTCCTCTTGCAAAGGCCAGATAAAATACCTCCCTATCACCGGATCTGGCCACTGAACCAAACAAAACTGAGTGTAACTACTGCCAAGTAGCACTGCAGGACCTACTCCTTTGGGAGCCACTACCCACCATGCCTTCTCAATTCCCAAGTCTTCAGTCCCAATTCTATCCCTCCCCACTGCCTCTCCCACTCCCCCAAGCCTCCTTCAGTTCCATCTCCCTTGCCAAAGCAACTGAAGAAAACCCTGCTCCAGACACAGCTCCGATCCCATGAGCAATGTTAGATCCCACGACATTAGATCTAACAGGACCCCCTACTGCTATTAATTAGAAGCACAAGGTGTTTAGATCTGATGGTGACAGGGGACAGACACATAGAATCCTAAAAGGGAAGATGCACCACTCAGCACTGGAGTACAGCAAGCCTGCTAAGAGAGGAGAGATGTGTACGTAGGGCAGGCTGTGACAGGGGTCAGAGAGGGTCAGATGGGTTTCTTACTGCCCTTCACTGGGTTGAATTTCAACAGCTTCTCAGGCTCTTGAGAAAGCACTGTCCTGAGAAGAGCATCTAAGCTATGTCACCAGATCACACACCTACAGAGCAGTTGAGGGGATGCCCAAGCACAAGCACTTTTCCCTCTATATCCAACTTGCCAAGACCATATGTGCAACATAATGTATGAGGCAGAACCACCATGAGATACAAAAAATGATTCATCTGAGAAGCTAAAAATGCAATGGGATTCATTCCCTCAGCATAAATAATTCTTTCTGTATCTTCCCTGCAATGAATCCTCATTGCTGAGGGAACTAATTTTCATCTACCAGATCTGTGCAGAACACAGGCAACTTTGGGACCAAATGAGAACGAAAAAGACCGCTGAAAACATAAGACCACTGAGAGGTATGCCCTCATCCTATGAATTTGGCACAGAAAATCGTTTTACAGAGGGGGCCACAACTTCAGAAAGTTTAAAAATGGGTCAACTAGGGGAAAAAAACTGCTGGGAAGTTGGTGCTAACGTACTAGAATAAGGGAGGTGTAGCCATGAGCAACAAATGGAAGATAAGGACAGACTAAGGCACTGGTATTATAGGAAAGGAGAAATAGTTTATCTGCTGTGAGGCTCCAAGAGAAAAGCTTTCTTGGCATAAATGTTTTGGTGCAGCAACAGCTGTCTGAAGTGAAGGGGGAAATGATCAACAGTGAATATGAATCAGTGGGTCCCTCCTGACAGGAGAACTGCCAGCAGGGTTGAAGAGGGACAAGAAGAGAGGGTTGTTTCCCTAAAACTCTTCAGGCTGTTGGCAGCACAAGAAACCATTTAATAGATCTAACAACAGCAGCAACAGGATCAACAATAGCTTTGATAGCTGTGAAAGAATTAGCACCAGACTGACACAAAAGGTTCATCCAGCACAACAGAACAGTCACATAAATGTACTTCATATTCATTTATTTACCTGGCTTAGGACGTAAAATATTCTGATGTTCCAGTATCGGGCCAGATCCTGGAGAAGAGGTTTCAAATAAATTTTTTCAAAGGTACAAAAGCAGCCAACAAGAGTTACAAAGGTTTCATCCTCTTCATTATCCGTTATGGACTGGAGAATGGGAAGCATTGGTGCAAGACCAGTGCCAGAAGCCAGCATGAGGAGTTCTCCATGCTAACAAAGGAACAGAGAATTCTGAATTAACCATCATGACTGGAAACAAAGGTGCTCATTGCCAGTTCCTCCTTGCTGCCACACTGCTAGAAGGTCCCTAGAGAGGGGAAAACATCAGGACATGAACTGCTACACACAAGTCTTCAAATGTGTTTTTCTATAAACCCCATCAAGGGCTACAAACAGCATTTTCAAGACTTATATATCAAATTTAAAACTGGATTATATCCCAATAGAAACATCTATCCTAACTTTAGTTTCAGTTCAACTGTACACTTTGCTGACCCATTGTTCGTTGTTTTCTTGCTGGAAAAGATAGCTGCTTATTTTGGATGCTGCAAAATACAGTCCTGAAGGTGCACTGGAGGGAATTGTTTCTTCTTCACCTTGATCCACACATCACCCTCGTGCATTACCTCACTTCTATCAGAGACCCACCAGTGCAGCACCCAGTGCTTCCCACCTGCAGCATGGAGATGTCCACTCATTTACCTGCACCAAAGGAGGCCCACGATGGGGACAATTCTTCTATAGCAAGGAGTTCTAAAGATTGCTCAGGTACTCTGTAAACTACACGCATAAGGATCACCCACACAGTCCCTGAATGAGTCACTTCTAGGCAGAGCTGCAATGTTTTGTCCCAGATGACCTGGAAGCTTTTAAGATCAGAAGTGAACAGTACCCTCACACAGCAGGGAGGATATTCCAGGAAGCACAACACCACTGCTCTGCAGTGAGCTTGGCCAGTGGGATTTTACAGCTCTGCTTTTGTTGGATATTTAAACTGAATTAAAAAAAAAAAAAAAAAGTAAGAAGGAAGACTTTGGGATCTTAATGGCCTATGTTTCAATTCTGCTTCTCGTTTGGAAGGTCAGAATTAAGTAACGAAATTAGCGTGCGTGAGAAGCCTTCCCCTGAAACTGGATCTGCCTTTCTTTGCAGAGAGCCTGGTATCAGTAGATGGGAATCAACATTTGCAGAGTGTCTGGGTGATGTGACACCTCACTGGAGCTGCTGTAGTTCAGGGAACACCCAGGAGGGGAAAAGATCAACACCTCTTTTTCACTTGTGCTCAGACACAAAATAGCAGCACTGCTCAAACAAGGCAAAAAAACAATCCACACTCACTGCTGGGGCAGAATAAACTTCCTTTGTTAAACACATGCAAGTGATGAACAGAGAGCCTTGCTAATTTTCTAGTCTCCCACCCACCTCCTTCTCCTCTTCCCTCTTACATATGCTGCAGTTCAATAAGGTGTACTTTCCCCAGTTGACTGCTAATGCTGCAGCACTGCACAATAACCCAGGAAGTCCCTAAAATAATCATGAAAACAGTAATCAAATTGATGTCTTCCCTTTGGATTATTAAACAAAGCTAGCTGCCACGAGCTGAAACATCCTACGTCTCTTAGGAAACTAACCTTATTAGGTCGATATGGGAACCCTCCAAATGGCCCACGCCAAAAGGCCGTGTCTCCTTCTTTCCAAGTCCTTATGTATTGTGACATTAGCCCAGCTTCATAGCACTAATAAAAAACATTGCACAAAAGAAAGGAATAATTATACTCTGTTGGAAACTTTCCCAGCTTAAAGTCAATTATAAAGTTATCTGCATTTAAACAAGAAGGGGGCAAAAAAAAAAAAAAAAAAAAAAAAAATTTCATGCATTTAAAAAGAAAGAAAGATCATTCTATTTGAAAAATAATTCAAAGTTATACCCAAAACAAAGACATTTAAATTAAATCATATTGGATTCATTCCAGCTCGACTATAATGTAAACACGACCCACTCCTATGCAGTCTGAATTTCCAAAACTGGAAAAAGCTTATCAAAGTTCCTGCTTACAAAGCACGTGGAGAAGAGCACCTTGAATGCAAAGCAAAGCCCGGGCCTTCAAGCATTCTCCAAAGCTCAGGGTGTGGGATCTGTAAAAGCCCTCTGGGCACTGATAGTTATATAAACACTGCGCAGCTCTTCCTTTGTTTCAGTGTCTCCGATGCTGCGTTGATACAATTAGTGACCAAACGAGAGGCTTCTCATTTATAAAACTGTTTCCAGAACAGATCATCTGGATGCCTTTGTGTTTTCAAAAAAATATGTTAATTT